TATTTTTTTTTTTTTTTTTGTTAAATTTTTTTTGTTTTTTATTAATTTTTTTTTTTTTTTTTTTTTTTTTTCTTATTTTTTTTTTTTTTTTTTTTTTAATTTTTTTTTTTTTTTTTTTTTTTTTTTTTTTTTTTTTTTTTTTTTTTTTTTTTTTTTGTTACTCACATGAAAATTCAATATATTATTACTTGCAATTTTTATTTTTCATATTTAATACACCTGCAAAAAAAAGGTTACATTTTTGCTTTGTTTGTTTATTAGTTATCAGCCTCAAAAAGCTATGGATGGATTTTGAAAAAAAAAATAATTCAGGTCAAAAATGGACTAAAATCTAAAATTGATTAGTATTTGTTGGTGATCCAATAAATAATTAATTAATAATGAGAACCAGAATTGAGCTGCCTTTGCAGAGGTCTAAGCTATGAGTCCTTCTATAGTTGTTATTATTATTATTATTATTATCGTCTTGTTGGTATTTTTCTTATGGTCGATATAAGAGTAATTTTCTCTCAAACATTATGAAAGATTGTATGCTGGAGCAAGTCCAGTAGAGTAACTAAAATGTGTGTTCTAAGACATGGAGAGATGTGAACTCATGTATGGGATAGTTTACATTTCACAATTATTTACTTAAAATTCGGAGTTCATCCATTAAGGATGTTTTAGCAATGGGAAATCTTATACTATTTATATTGCATGTATTTCTAATAGCATTTCAATGAGAGACGCACTTTTGTATAACATAATACTTTCTGATGATGAGGTTCTGTATGAAAAAGAAATACGACTCTTTTTGGAAATGGGGGGAATTATTGTATCTTTTACATGATCATGTGTGAAAGTAATCAGTATTAATGATACCAGTAGAACTGGTAACAATTGAGATCATGACAATATTGGTTATTTTAATGTAGGCCTACAGAATTCTTTTGTTAATGCTTATTATTATTATTACCCGGGACCTCTACTCTTTTTTCGCCGAGACGCGACAGAGGTCTGATTTATACAGAAACGACAAAATATTACCCTTCAAATACCCAAAGAGTGCCCCTTTCTCCAAGTAAAATAAGAGGGAAAGAAGTCTAGTATGAGCACGCGTCGTTTGTCCTTAAGGCAGCTTTGTTGATGAAAGGAATTGATGGGATTTTTTGGTTTGAAAAGATGTTTATCATTTTAAAAGCACTAGTTATCTGCGGCAGATGTTTCGGGAGGACCATTTACAAATGTTTTGAATGTGTGTTCTTTCTAATAAAATACCAATTTAATGTATTTTCGATGCAATAAAGGAATGTATTAAGATAACTTATATACTATATTACAATCTGTTAAATTATGAATGTATTTGTTATATTTCTCTTACAAGGAAATATTCCATGTGTTACAAAAGTTGTACATTTTAACACAAGCATTTTAAAGAAAAAAATCTATTGGGTAACAGGTCTACAACAAGGTGCGCATTATATTATGTACATTGTAATTAATGTGAAAACTGAATAGACTGTAAATAGTTTGTAATAAAAAATAAAAGTATTGATGTCAAAAGATTATGCTTTGTCAAAGAGTTACTTACAGAGAAATTTCCCATAGCGTGCTTATTTTCATTATTTGATTCTTCGAAATATCTTTCAACAGATAAAATGTCCGCGGCCGTTAAATCGTAAAAATAACCCATTGCATTCAGTCGTATCCATGTCTGTCAAATCAAAATTTCCCGCGGCTGTTTGCTTTGCAGAATCTTTAGTCGTTCGCGTGTCCTTTCTTATTTTTTCGTTTGCGGAGCAGAAAAAACACTGGACCTGTCTGCCTAAACAAATCCCTCAGCACTAAAACCCAGGTAGCAAAAGAGCCACAAACATTAATAAACACTCGCACGGCGGGGTGTTACTATTCCTCGACGGTGCTCCGGTGCGTTTTCAATCGTAGATTTTGATTATTAAATAGCTTCATGACATTTCAATCATGATTAGAATTCTCAAAAGAAATTTTGTTTATCGTTGTTCTTCATAAATTCCTATCTCACTTTCGTCAATGTCGCTACTGTCATCGTAATAACACGACAAAGGAGAGTCCAGTTGAGAGGCCGTGGTTGAAGGAGACGGCGGGTCTTCATAATCCTGGTCTTGCCTGCTGCTCTCCGAATCCTGGGGATTAACAATGTGATCTTCCGAGACATCCTCTCCGTTCTGCTGCTTCTGAAACCGAACCACGTTTCCCAGTAGGTTGATGTACTTGATAGCTAATCTTAAGATTTCGTTTTTACTGAGTTTTTTGTCCGGTGGGTAGGTAGGGACTAATTTTCTTAATTCTGCAAAAGCTCCGTTGACGTTCTGCTGCCGCCAGCGTTCGCGTGTGTTGGTGAAAATGCGGCGGACAAGCTTTCGTACCGGCGGTTGAGCTGCATCTCCCCCATTAGACCGCCGCCTATAATATCGCCTCCCAGAGAGCATGTCTGGGTGAGAAAGGGGTAGGAAAGTTGGTTTGAAATTATACAGACAAGGTGGCCGTAAAGGCGGAAGAAATGGTCTGTGTTGAAGTGTTATGTACGGTACATTGCCTGGACCAACAGCTTTCTGTACCAGTGGTCTAGCAGCGTCGCCACCGAGCTTGAAATTACTCTCTGACTCTCCATCCGACATTCTGATAAATTCAGACGTTTGTGACCTGTCTAAATATTGAGAATCATTGTTGTTTCCATATGCGACTTTTCCGTTTTCGCATCTCTCCACTTCCATGTCATTCTCAGCTGGGGCAGAGGTGACGTGACGATTTTCTTTTTCGTCGTGTAAAGGGCGTAGAGTTTCCATGGTCAGTCACGATTAAGCCCTGCAAAAATTCAACGGCCTTGTCTTTAAAGAGTGTTGTTTGATAGCCTGTGAAATTAACGAATTGATCTTAAATCCCTTATTTCTGTAGATGAAATATTGGTTTATCTTGTCAGTCACGGTGAGGTGGTTCAGTCGATACAAAATTGTGAAGAATTTTATATCAGGAACACGTGAATCCAGAGGTCGGTGGCAGGCAGATCCAGGGATAATCAAAGTGGCAGATACAATCTTTGTTTTTCCATGTAATTGCACAGAAAATGGTTACTTGAAATCCTCTTGAAAATCTATTTGTCTTTTTGGAAATTTTATAGACGAGTACCCATTTCTCATGTCACAGAAGCTGAACCTCGCCTTTCTTTAAATTCCTTGTTCAATTCAAAGTTTGTTTTGGTCTTGGGTTCAAATGCAACTATCAAACTTATCTGATATGCCTCTGCTTCCAGTGTTGCCTCTTGTTTTGATGTATCTTTGTAAATTGTACGTAGAATTGCTTCTTCAGACCCAACAACATATAACTGCAGCAGTACGTCAGTAGTAATGATCACGGCATTATTGTAGTGCTTATAATGACCAGTTCGTCCAATATCTGTCACAACCGAGAAAAAAACAAAGGTAATTTCCAAGAAATTGGGCGCATAAGCTACCGAATCGTAGGTCTCTTGTGTCGAAAATGCGTCTAACTCAAATCATCGGACGTTTGCATGGTTTAAGTATTTTACTTCTTAGGATTTAGACGTCACATGACTAAAGAAGCTTTTCGTTGCATCTGATTGGTCGGTTGCCTCGGTGATTAATGATATGTCTATATGAATCAAAGAATTTCAATAACTGCGATTGTAACGTCAATTTCAAGATATGTATCCTTCCTCGTGGCACTAGAAAAAAGTCTTTCTAAACGATTTTTGAGGTATTATTCTAGTAATGTTTTGTTTAATGATATTGTCATCATATTTTCTGGGGTTATCATTGTGTATGCAATATGCATCCATCAAGTGGCACCCAAAGAGTCTATAACACTTAAATTAAATATCTGCTAAAGCGGAATCTAATTTAACCGGTGATAAAAAACTAACGAATAATAGTGTAATTTGTGCTTTGATCGGTGGGTTTAACTGCTGGGATGTTTTTTATATTGTTATATTTTCATTTATTAATTTCATTTTATGGTTTAATTAGGGTATATTTGATTTATATTCTTGTGTACAAAGTGAATCCTCGTGATTGCTCCTATGACACATAGACTATATACATAGCCAACTACAGTCATGTGGGAAGTAGTGACTTGATGACTCAACTATAACTGTTTCCTATTCAGTGCAGTTAGTCTCAGTAGCAGATTTCTTTTAATCCTTTTTGGTGTAATAGAGATTATACGGAGTTTAAAGAATCAACAACGTTTACGTGACATATAACGTTGGCGCCTGTTATGCCGGGCTGTTATGGCGAATATAATTTGAAATCTTAGATTTTTCTATCCAATGAGAAAAAGAACTATACTCCGAGGGCGTTTCGAAATTAGATTCTCTTAATTTGATAAGCTTGTTTATGTTTCGGTTGTATTGATCATCTCAAGACAAGATCTTCAACAGGCATTCTAAAGACCCACTTAATTTGAATCGTTTCTATTAAGTTTCTAAATAAAAGTGGTTTCAATTGAAGAACACTGAAAACAACGTTGTTAGTTTTAATTCGCCACGATTAACAAGAACAATCCCAGTTGGAAGAAGTAAACTACCTCAGACGACATATCTGCCTCACTCCAGATAACAAGAAATGACGGTTAAGAAAAAAAATGCTGTATTTCTAAGCTTTGTTTTGTGAAAAACAAAGTAGCCGCACGCGCATCAAATAAACCCCACACTTCTGGCATATGTCAGTAGCGTGGCACGTAACCCCTGGTTTTGCTCCCTGCAAAAACGACACTCGGACCCTGAAAATTCTGAAAACCGGGGTTTTGGTCCCTTGTCACCACCAGGTCCTGCATATGTACTGACTTGTGCCCCGATCAGGTTTGCTAAAATTCGTGTTAAAGGATATCCATATCCATCCACCACATGTTTTGAATGTTGCCCGTTGATAAGTATAACGGGCATTACAATGCCGGAGAGCAAGAAGAAAACTTAGGGACGAAACCTTATCTGTCCCCGCACGTTTCCTACGTCCTTCCTAATTGTACAAATCGACATCTGAAACCTTTTGTTTTAGTTGAAAAGACGTGACACTCCGTGTTGGATAAGGACCAAGACGTCCAGATAAAGATCTTGCAGCTGTTTTTTCCTTCTTCAAAGTTTGCTAGGACTACAGCCTTTGAAGAAATGAGAATTAAAAAAAATGAGGCCTCTATTTTAAAAGAAAAAAATAAAGACGCATTTAGAATATGTTTCAGACACATCCTGAAGGAAAAGACCCCACCAAACCATGTTGCTTTTGTTTATCGTAATTATTTTAACACGTAAATGAGGGAGCTACGTTCCGAGGTCATTTCTCTACAGATAAAATGTGTCATTTCTCCACGGATAAAGAAGCGTTTTATTGCCGTCATCAAATGTATTGAAAGGCAATTTGATAGTAGATGAGATATTTCATTTTTATATTAAAATCTGAAATGCACCATTCACTATCGACATACTGAACAAAAGCGAAATGAAAAGACTCACGCTGAATTAGCTGAGTCAATAAACACATATGATATACCGTACAATCAGGAGCACACATCAGGGGGATGAAGGCTCGTTCGGTCAAACCCCCCCCCCCCCCTCCTCTTCAAGCCTTGAAGGGAAAACCTGTGCTTTTGAAAGCACTAAAATTGCCGGCGTGCGTTAAATTGATAGCGTGACTAGATCAGAAAATCATATTGGCTTGAGCACAAAACCAACTAAGGACTGGGAAGTAAGACTATTGCTACATTTCAGGATTTGAGCAGTAGTAATCACAGGGCGTTCTATTGAATCGTGTCCCTGATGTGAGAGGGAAATCTATTAACTTTCTGTTATCTCTTTCCAACACTTGTGATGTTCCGACGTTAATCAATAAATTGTCAATAGGTGGAAAGCGTTTGTTTCTGTTCCCAGGCCAATAATCACATGGAAATCTGTTATGGGGAACTTCAAAGATTCCCACACAATATTGTGCTTTAACCACAGGTCAGGAATTCAAAGTATATCCATTTGATATACTCTAGATAATTGATTGAGCGTTCAAAAGAAAATTGATCGTAATTTAGATATTATGTGTTGAATTCCTTGGTTATTCTTCCCGAATCAATTTCTGACAAGAAATCCAATTCAGTTTGACTTACGCTCATTTCTTAATTTGACACTTCCTTTTCTCTTTCCGATGTATCTGTTTAAAGATTTAATTAATGATCATTTTATATCTCTTCTCGAGCCTCAAGCACTTCATTAAAAGTGTTGGGAGCGCGTGCAACATCATTCATCGGGTAAGAATACACGAGGCGCTGCTAGACGCACCATTAACCGCCTACTTGCGAGGAGGTTCGCATTAATGAGAAGTGAAAGCATAATACGGGCAACATTACAGTTCGGGGCAGCATTAAGTTACAGGCAGACAGTAGCTAAACCTGCTGCTATAATAAATCAAGTATAAGACAAGTAGCTTTATGTTGTTCTTAAGACCATAAACTGAAGTCAACCTTGCCCGAATAAAATGTTTAATTAAAACAAGACAGTAATTAATTAATTGCTACCAAATTGATTAATAAATTGCTAACGCATACATGTTTATACATTCCGCACCAGTGTAGGGTTGTTACTTAAAATTCTTTAAGTTAAAATTCAAATAAACGAAGAACGAAAGATATCGTTTGTAATTTACCGAAGTTGAATACCAGTGTAAACAAGCTGGCAACTAGCTCCAGAGAGCGCCATGTAACTATACCTCTAACAAGGGAGACAGAATCCAGTTCTGTAGTGTTAGAAGTTAATAGGGAAAGTGAGAAGAATAATGTAAAAAATAACCAAATAAACTTGCCCCCGGCCTAACATCAAAGAAATGGATGTAGCGCAATCTTTGAAAGACTGACAACAATCAAAATCGGACATACAGTGCGGAAAAAACAATCAACTTTCTTTTTCGCGTGAGGAAACAGACCTTCATTTGATTCCCAGATCATTACAGTTTAACCCAACAGCCCAAGTATTGCTGTCGTGAATTTACCTTAGAAATTGAAGGTGAAATGAGGTGCAAATTTTCAATTTAAGAGAGAAATTAATTAATTATTTAAGTTAGTAGATCAATCTATAGAGAGATATCGAGGTAGATTACCATCCAAGTAGGTACGTGTAGTAATGTGTGGTGTTTTCATCTATTTTTTTTTCCTATATTGTTTCAAGGCAAATTTACTGGAATAGCTTTGTTGTGTCCATTACAATTTACAGTTTGCAGTTCTTCGATGCCAGTTGCGTAGATAGAAACAGTACTAGAAAAGAAGGCAACTATTGAATTTTGTATTCTCAGAAAATAAGTCAGGTATTTAGTACTTTAGAAGCGTAGCCTAATAAAAAAACACTCAATTCATTTCATTCATCAGTTTTCACAAGGAAGGTCATATCAAAGAGGTGCTTATTAAAATTACATCTTGATTATCCAATTTGATGATGCTGAAAACTTAACTAAACCTTCTTTCTACACACTTTCCGCATTTCGCATACACTTAATACATCTACTTGGTCAAACGTATTTTACCTTTCAGAATGATCGATTCCACCTCAAAACGCCCTATTGATGATCTTTTTTTTTTCTTATTTTTAACAACATTTCCTTTCCAATAAGATTTACACCTCAAAAATAAGGCTTTTTGTGTACGTGCGATATATTATTTTTTCATATTACTATTTTTATATTTATCCTTAATAAAAAAAATCGGTTGATATAATTAGTAAATATAAAGTATGCAAAATTGCAAGAGAAAAACACCATAGAATATGCAGGATAAAATGCATGATCCGTTAACTGGTTCTATACTAGTTTGTCGATTGACATCAAAACCATAACACTATTGCTGAAAATGAAGGAATGTTCTAACAAAATATGAATGGTGTGAATTAAAACGGGTTTAACAATGAAAAATATTTTATTCCATTTATTCTTACGCACAGATTAACATAAAATGCATGCTTATTAAAAGTATTGATTAAGGTTGTGCGACGAATATTAGTGGCATATAAATTTCTTTCGATGGTCTAATTATTCATTTGTATTGTTTTTACCTATCTGTTGTTATATTGTTTTTATTTATTTATTTTATTGAAACGCTTGAAGAAATTCTGATATTCCTACTTCCGTGGAGATCATATTTACTCTCTGTGGCGTTTGAACAAAATAATGTGTTTATTGGGAGCCAGACTCCATCTCTTCACCGCTGCAAAAATGGGATGACATGAATAAATACGATACTGGACGGCTTGTATGACAGAATTAAAGAAACCTTTTGAGGGGTGGAAGGGGGGGAGCACGGGGAGCACCGTACAACCCTACCAGAAAAGATGGATTTAACTTAAGCGCGCATACTTCAGCAACAGCATATAAATTCTGTCAGCGTTTCTGACCTAACGTTAAACGTGAATGCCAAAGGTCCATACTCGTGGTCTTACAGTAGTACATGCACATTTTTGTTTTAATTTCTCCAAAACTTCAGATTTTTAAGGACCGCCAGTGGCGTTTTTGTACGTACTCACTTGTTTCAGGCAACCTGTACATATGTACCTCTTTAGAATGAATTACAATCTCTCGGCGCATGCTGCATTTTTACAAAAGACGAAATGGTAAAAAATGCACGAAAACTCTTACTCGACCAAAGTTAAAGCAACAAAAATGTATTAAAATTCAATAAGGCACAAATAAGGTGTTTCAAAGTTAGGGTTTATTCGATGTTCTTCTTTGCGCTTCTCTCTATAAAGGTTTTGTTCTACATTCCAAGCTTACATCAATTATAGTTGTATTTCTTCATTTATTTTGTTGATACTGCATAAATAATAACCAGATTATTACACTATTCCTAAATATGATACATTTTATTGTTTTTACTATACCATAGCACTGTACATGCATACACTTATCATATCAAACGCAACATAATGCACCGTAGATCTGACTTATATGCAACCAGCATAAATTTCACACTATGATCTATATGTACAAAGTCCATTTTACTAAAACTAAATTTTACACATTGCACTTCTTGAGTCAGCCACAACATTGGGAAGCCGCGTTAAACATTAAGATAAATCCGCAAATTATTGCTACGACATGAGCAATGGCGGTATGTGATATAGGTCAGAAACACTAATCAAGTTAAGAAACAAACATGAAAACAGAAAGTAAAAGTTGGTGCAGATCTTAAAATGGCCAAAACGAACCTGAAAACCTATGATCAACTAAAAGTAAAAGAATTCGCGTTTTTCATTTTTTCTGGTTGAAAGTTAAGAATATGTTCAAGTAAAAAAAGATATTAGACAGCAATCCTCTTTAAAACTGTGTCTGACAAAGGTTTTATGGTTGGCCATTCAACTTGAATCACCAAAATAAATATCTTTTGTCTAGTATGGCTCTACATAAGTTTATCTAATTTTGGTAAATAAATTAAGTTCAGATTTGGATTCCTTTGGTGACCGCGTCTTGCTGAATACATTCCAAAACCGTAGAGTCTCATCACCTGCTCCAGTGACGATAGCCTCTCCGTCTGGTGAGATGGCCTGAAATAATGGTTTATAATAAAGATTGTCAATAAATATGTTAAAAAGATATGAAAGGAGGCATTTCTGTTTATTTCTACTTATTCATACATAAATTAACTGATCAAGAAGAGAATCAGTCAGTAACAGCAACAATATCCTTGCAGCAAAATGCAATTTTTTCTCAAATAACATTTAACACTTTAGCAAAAGCATTCACCAGGTGTTAATCATACAACTGATTTACTCTCTTTTAATTCAAAATCTAATTTAAATTAACTAGAAGATATTTTCTTATAAAACTACAGGTAAATATTCTTATCAGCAGTTGGTACATATGGAATGAATGGCTTACCAAGTACAGCACTCTATAAGTGTGTCCTGTCAACTTGGCTATCTGCACCAGAGAGGGATACTTCCACACTAAGATCTGGTTTTGAGAATAACCGTGAGTGCTGACCTAGAACACAAAGACATAAATGAATAATAAATATCAAAATAATGACGTTTTTTTTTTTTGTTTGTTTTTAAAATCTAATTTGATTTAATACTTCAATTAAAAATTGGAGATACCACATGAAACTTCCCATAACAACAAAATCTAGCCCCACTTAAAAACTAATGTGAGAACAGTCAAATTACTCTGATGCTAACTCACCAGTTCATTAGCATGCTTGGACCACGCCAAGTTACAAACTTGTGATCCCGTGTCCACACACTGCAGTGGCTGTCCTGTGAGAGTATTCCAGAACCTGATACACCTGTCAGCCGTCCCTCCGCCACTGGCCAGCAGGCCGTGCTGGTGTGGAGACCAGGCTATGGCCTTTACTGCGGCCAGATGTTCAGTGTAAGTCTGTACTGGGGATGTGCTGTTCATGTTCCACACAAACAGTTTATTGTCGTTGCCTCCCGAGGCCAAGTGCTGGTGATCTGGTGACCACTTTAGGCCACACACCTGAAATCATGATGGCCAGTTTCGTCTTAATATTCATTTACAATAAGATTGTGGAAAATAATTTTTATTGTTATTTGACACATAAAACGGTAACAATGGAAAAACAAACTCACCAATAAAAAGAAAAACTACTCCATTTCCTGAGTAAAATATATGAACACAAGTTTAAGTTTTAAATTGATAGTATCTTTACTCAATGAATTATCATCTATAAATTACCTTTTTTACCATGCAAGTAGCAGTTAAATATCTCTAAACAGTTCACATGTCTCACCTCTTGCCTGTGCCCTGCCAATCTTCTTTCTGTTATACTTGGAGGTGTCCTGACGTCTCGTTGTAAAATAAGCCTGTCCCGACTTCCTGAAGACAGCATGTCAGCATTCCATGCTAAAGCACCTGGAATATGGCATAGGAAAAGGTTAAACACAATGGCTTGAAGAAGAAAACCTTTTTTAATGCTTGTTTCTGTTATATGATGATATATTGGATATTTGTAAAATAGAACTATTATAATTCAGGCTATCATTTTGATGAAACAAGAAGTTAATCAATGATAAAAATATTTGAATAGACGCATTCTGACATTTTCTTCTTTACTGCTATTAGTTTTACTTTGTAGTTTTTTCAACAATGAAGTTTAATGTGACTTATAAGAAATTCCCTCTTTCTTTACCTACTAAGGTCTTCGTTTAATGCAAAGATCTGGATGAATGTTGTGAAGTTTTATGTTTGTAATGACTCACCTACTCTTGCTGAATGACCTTCTAGTGTTGAAATTTTTTTGTTAGCAGAGACATCCCAGATCTGCACAAAACCTTTATGTGTACCAACGGCTACAGAGTTCCCCTATAAAAACAATACTTTGCAATAAAATCTGAATAAGAACGGTGCATAAATTTTGATTCTGAAGACAAAGATGTGAATGATGGACTAAGGGTTGTGCTGTCATACCTAAAGTGGGTCAACAAGTAAAGATGAGGGGAGACTTGCTCTAAACTGGGAGTATGACCCCTTGCCAAAACATCATAGTCCATAGAGGATGGAGTGAATACAGTGCGATTAAGACCAATAAACTACAGATCAAATTTAAATGAGATCTAAGAGACAGACTTATAACATACCCTTTCTGACCAAGCTACAGACGTTACTGAATCTTGATCTACTGCTAAGTCACACAGCCTGGTCACCTGAAAGATGTTTCATTTTTACCATTCATTTTAAATTTCCTTAATATGTTCACGGTGCACAAAAAACAAATGCAGAGTCTTGTATGAAAGAGTATTAAGAATCAATTAATGTCTTCTTAATGATATAAATAGATCAGATCTGATAGACAATAGATCAGATCTGATAGACAGAGTTTATGACAATGTGCATTTTAATAGTTTCTGCAAACAATCAAAATTGGTACAAGAATCATCATTAAATAGTATATGTTCATGAACCGACCGGAAAAAGTTACCCTGGATTCGTTATGAGAAAAACATGAATGCAACAATACAGAATCCCTTACCTGACTAGTACATGCACTCCAGAGGTATACACATGTCCCAAGCCCTACACTGAGGATATTAGTGGACGACCAGTCCACCAGGTTCAGGTAAAAGTCATCTTGAAGTTCAGGCGCATCAAGAACTTTGAACGGAATTTTTGAGATTTTTCTTACTGTCTGAAAAGAGAGAAATTACAAATATGAAAAAAATATATCAATTTACATTATTCCAGCTTTCAAAAAAAAAAAAAAAAAATATATATATATATATATATATATATATATATATATATATGACAATATATGACAATAGAACATATTTCCCACAACATCTTAAAATTGTATAATGTTATCTCTGATAATTATGCTATTGAATCATATTCCAACCTTCCCTATCTCTTGTTGACTTAAAACATAAGCATACCTTTCTTGGTGATCTTAGTAGTTTTTGACTTTTTGTTCCCACTGGAGATAAGGAATATGGAGAGGAGTCACTGCTATCTACATCTTTTCTAGACACTCGATACTAGGAAAAAAACATGAAAAATAAAACTGTATTGCAATAACATGTACATTTTGGATCTTTACTTTTTTTTCTTATAATTTTGCTTATATAGAAAACAATGTCATCATTGTCCAAGGAATACACATCCAGTTAAAAAATTACTTAATTCTATAGGAAAACAATTATTCAGATTTTGTTGAGTTTTATATGTTAAATATGCAGGCAGTATTACTGGTATTCTTGTAATTTAATGCTGTCTTACTTGGAATAAATTTTTGGTATCTTTTGGTGCAAGTATTTTCCTTTCATCAGGTTGCTGTTCCTAAAGAAAATGACAATAAACTTATATTTCATGCATTGATAGGAGAACACTTAAAATAATAAAACAAGGAATAGCCTGTTAGTAGTCATTAACACCCACTTGTATATAAATGTGTTCTTCAATGATCATTTAGACTTAAAAAATGGTTCAATTCAAAATCCACACATTCTTCATAAACTCCCATTTCCATCACCTATGCCCTGTAGTTTAACTTGCCGCTTCAAAAACACCAGTTTCTAGTTGGTCAAAATAAGTTTAGCACTGATTTTACCTGGAAAACAGTGCTAACCTTCAAATCTTCTATTCCAGCACCCAAAAGTTCGTTTCTGAGCAAGCAACTATACGTCATGTCCTTTTGATTATCATTTGCTTCCTTGGCTTTCCTGGTCTGTCCCGGTGACTGTGTCTTTCCTGTGTCCTACACAATAAACAATACATGAACATCTTATGTCAACAATCAGCTGAATGGGTCAATTTTTCAGTGAGCAATACATAATATTTATATTTAATCTGTTCCTACCATTTTAAGTTCATGAGAGTCAAGACAATTTTTTTTTCACTCTTTCATGAGACAAAGATTTTTTTAAAACTTTTACGATGGAAACAAGATGTTGCAGAAAATTTCTCAAAAATACTTTTTACAAATCATACCTATACAATTCTCATTTCAATAGTTATCAAAAAATCTTAGATGCTTGATTTCTTCATTTGCCATAAGGGGTAGTCTATTGTAATTCAAAAATCAGGAATAAGTTGACATATACTTCTAGAGTAATCATTACTTCCTTACCACCATGGCACCAATGAGGTTGAAATATATTCAAATAGTCTGCTACATGATGGTGCATGTATAATAGGTTCCATTTCCATTTTATCTCAACTTACCTGTGGCATATTGAATGAAATGTGCCAGTTCGCACCTGCTCTGCTTGGGATAAAACGGTCCCCATATTTATCTTTTACTGGGGAAGCAACAGGACTTTGCATGGGCTAGAAAAATGAGTAATGTACCATTCAATTCAAAGGCATCTCAATGCTATACCATAAGAAAAAGTAAATTAAAAATTTAGAATTGAAGAAAATAATAACACATAAGCTTATGCATGAATTGATGCCAGCTTATCACTAACACTTAATGATATGCATACCTCTATGTAGGTCAATTATATTCAATTACAACAATGAGATAAGCCTCAATGAGATGACAAGCAGCAGTGTCTCCAGATTTTAAGTACTCACAGATCCATATGGTGATTGTCCATTTTGTTGCCTAAATAATCTCTTTTCATAATCAGGATCCATATCTGCTATAGTAAAATCCAACTTCTGACATGGGTCAGCATCAGCTTCAGAGCCAGATAACAGTCAAATACTTGGGTGTTTCCTCAATTCTTTAAAAGAGTTTCAAAACAGAGAGAACATTAATTCAAAACATGAAATAATTATACCTGAAGTGTTTCTTAATATACAATCCACCTATTTCTCACCCCAATATGAACATTTTATTATTTTACACAGACCTGAAAGTGAACCAAACCATAGCAGGCCTAAAGAGCAATGTATTCTAAGCTTCATATTGTAGCACATACATCCAATGATTTTAGAAAGTTCTATGTGCCTGTATAAGAGTGAGTATATATATGTAAATTAGTGGAGTTTGAGACAGTTTACTGAAACTAGAGCCAAAGCTTGATATATTTTATCTAAACTTGTGTACTGCAGTTGTTACTTTTAGCTGAGCAAAAATGCTGTGATTGATGGATGAGACTAACCACCAGTAAAATATCCAGACACTTATGCAATGCGCCCCCGAAAAAGAAAATTCAAGTCTTTGCTGTTCAATGTTTTTCTAAATTCAGTTCATACCTTTACGTAATGTATTTAATCAATGCTATTCAAATAAATCAGTTTCACAATTGATTTGGGTTTTTAAATGTTTTTACAAGAAACTTCTAATCCATTTAAATAAAATGACAGCAATGTCACTGGACAATACAAAATCAGTGCTTAAATTGTAAAAGTAATTTATATGAGTAGCAGAAACATAGATCAAAGGTCATCATATAAGTGAACCACAAAAACATTGGAAACTTATACATACAGTATACAAGTTTGGGGCCATACTGCACATAAGTCCCAGTATTTGCCATTTGTTTGCTAGTGTAAAGATTGGCCAAATATGCAATATAAGTGCAAAAAAAAAAAAAAAACGTGTAAAATGAACGTCTTCACTCTCTTCTAATTATGAAAATTAAGACTGACAAATGAGTGACAACCACACTTCCTGGGTAGACAAGGGCAATTTGCTGCTTTACAATGCCTGCAATCGCTAGTTTATATAAGCTTCAGTGTCGCCCCTTTAAAACATAGGTCCCAGAAACACTTGAACTTAGCATTAAACGAAATACGTGGAATAACAGCAGGGTGACATATTTTTATGTTTGTTTCCACATAATGACACAGATTAAGATTAACGTTAATTAAGGTTATCTACCTCCGTATCTTCGTTTTGGGTTCCTATTAAAGATATAAACATCAAACAAACTTCCACTAAATAATCGAAGTTACTTAAGTTTGGTCAAAAAGCGAAATGCTTACCTTAAAACCGCACAACAATAACAACATTTCTGACAAATTTTAAAATCAGCTACTGATGGGGCGCATCTTGGGAAGGAAATGCGTCACGCTAGGCATGATGGGATATTGATAATCTTTTTGTTGTAATTCAAATAATCGCACTTTTTGCCAAATACTTGACAAACATTACTAAGAGAAAATAAATTAACTTATCTAAATTAAAAAAGAAATAATGTCTTAATTTTTCTTTTTACAAAATCTTTCGTAAAGGAGGATTTTTCTGCATAGCAACAGTCTTGACAACGAGCCTTGTAAACATTTGGCACCTGCTTGGCATAGTCTATATATACAAAGCTGGTACACCATTTGAGCATACATTTGAGTAGGAAGCACTTTGATAATTTACTTGAATACACAGAAGAAGAAAGATGTCGAAAGCACCACCTCAAAAGGATCCAACCAATTTTGTGCACCAGAATGCTATTCACAGAGAGACAATTTTAAAGGAAACAAAGCACCAGAAATTATATACAAATTACAGCATCAATCCATACAACAAAAGTAAGTTAGACTGAATCATCTGGACTTACGTTAATATCATTTGCTATATTATTTCAAATTATCTTACATAGGTCATTTGAGATACAGTATATTGATATAGATCTTCCTCGTACTCAGTATTTCTTATTTATTCATGTATACTATATTATCTTTGTAGACATTCATTCAAAACAAAAGGGTTCATTGGTCATTTAATAATTGGAACATTAATTTTTGCAGTGCATGCAATTACTGGAAAACCAAATTCCATGCATGACACAGACGAGGGAGAAGAAGACGGTGAGTGTCATCAGTACATAATTATAAATCCAAATAACCCCACAATATTAATCTAGTCTAAGCTATTAGCAGAAATTATGAAGCTGTGTGCATGATGTTAAACTGCACCGAAATCTGTTGAGTGAACTTGCCATTACTTAGAAAATGCAGACAATCTGGATAAATTTAAATACAATATTGTCAAACCACAAAATGTTTGTTTACTTCATTCAATTTATGTTTTATACAGTTATAGTTTTACTTTCACTTGGACCAATCACATAATTGACTTACACGGAAATTTGTTTTACAGAACATTTTCTTAAAGTCATAAAAAGAGCACATATGGAGCCAGTTAGAAAAAATACATTCCCACAAACAGAAGCAGAAGAAATAGGATGGATAACAAAACCTATGGTAGGTAATATGCTCTGTACAAAATAACCCTGCAGGTCTTTTTTCTTTCTTTTTTAATAGCATGGGAAGTACACAATTCATCACAATGTGATTGATGACACCAGGGTAGTTTACAATTCACTTAATAAATATATAACCTTGCAAAAAATGTCCTTGGTTCAGTGCAATCAGAAAAAAAACCTAACCAAATTTTCTATGCATTTCTTCAGATCGACACAGACAGAAGCGATAGGAGACTATATTTTCCAAGACAAAATTCTGAAATAACAAAATATATGGACGCTCTTTGGAGGTACAAAGAACAAACAGAAAACCTGAACTGAAATGCATAAAGGACAATCATTTGGACTGATGCACAAGAGACTGAACATGTATCAAAACAGTTAAATAAGACAAATTTATGGTTACCTCCCAGGTAACAACTTCTTCCACTATGGGAAATCCAGGATTAAATGGCACTCCGAAAAACTTAATGATTCATTTTGTAACCCTGGAGTGTATTGACCCTCTGTACAAGGAATAACTTGGAAGTTTTAGATACAGCCTGATAAATCCTGTGGTGTCTAGTGGTACTCCTTGTAAGATTGGGATTATGTTGAAAAAGGAAAGCATGATACAACCAAGCAATACAATGCTAAAACAGCATTGCTTTTATTTATACTGTATGTTTAAATTAATAAACCACTGTTGATTGTGAACTGAAGGCATAGTGACATAAATATATTATTTTATTTTATTTTCATTTGTTTAATTATATATGTACAAAAACCCTCATTAATGTTAATTTTTCTCCTTACTACAATCTTTCATGGTATCCTTTCTTTGTAAATATAAANGGACCAATCACATAATTGACTTACATGGAAATTTGTTTTACAGAACATTTTCTTAAAGTCATAAAAAGAGCACATATGGAGCCAGTTAGAAAAAATACATTCCCACAAACAGAAGCAGAAGAAATAGGATGGATAACAAAACCTATGGTAGGTAATATGCTCTGTACAAAATAACCCTGCAGGTCTTTTTTCTTTCTTTTTTAATAGCATGGGAAGTACACAATTCATCACAATGTGACTGATGACACCAGGGTAGTTTACAATTCACTTAATAAATATATAACCTTGCAAAAAATGTCCTTGGTTCAATGCAATCAGAAAAAAAAACCTAACCAAATTTTCTATTCATTTCTTCAGATCGACACAGACAGAAGTGATAGGAGACTATATTTTCCAAGACAAAATTCTGAAATAACAAAATATATGGATGCTCTTTGGAGGTACAAAGAACAAACAGAAAACCTGAACTGAAATGCATAAAGGACAATCATTTGGACTGATGCACAAGAGGCTGAACATGTATCAAAACAGTTAAATAAGACAAATTTATGGTTACCTCCCAGGTAACAACTTCTTCCACTATGGGAAATCCAGGATTAAATGGCACTCCGAAAATCTTAATGATTCATTTTGTAACCCTGGAGTGTATTGACCCTCTGTACAAGGAATAACTTGGAAGTTTTAGATACAGCCTGATAAATCCTGTGGTGTCTAGTGGTACTCCTTGTAAGATGGGGATTATGTTGAAAAAGGAAAGCATGATACAACCAAGCAATACAATGCTAAAACAGCATTGCTTTTATTTATACTGTATGTTTAAATTAATAAACCACTGTTGATTGTGAACTGAAGGCATAGTGACATAAATATATTATTTTATTTTATTTTCATTTGTTTAATTATATATGTACAAAAACCCTCATTAATGTTAATTTTTCTCCTTACTACAATCTTTCATGGTATCCTTTCTTTGTAAATTTATATAAATACAATCATTCAAGGTGAAGAGAATGAAACCCAAATTTATATGAAGTCCTTCACATGCCCAGTTATGTTAAGAATGTCAGCTTCATTTCTCTTTAAGAGATATACTAGATATTAAGAGGCATTTCCATAGTACCCATGGTCCACAATGTACCAACACAGTTTAAAGAACTTGTTTTCTCTGAATTACTCCATTTTTGCAGAAATAACCTCCAACAGAACATTTTTTGGACCAAATTTGTACTTGTAAAGTTACATATGTCCTTCTTCTCAGTGGCCTAGTTATTTGTTTTTTCCTTTCTGTCTTCTTCTTTTCCCTGGTCTGTTTTTACTTGCAGCCTGAAAGGCATTAGCCAAAACTTATATACTGTTATCTATATGATAACATATAAGTTTACAATAAAACAAGACCTCATTTTATGTACATGGCTGATAATAGTGAGGTGACTAATACATTAAAAATTAATCGTTTTAAAGTGACAGAGCCACAAGGGCAATGTAACAACAATTTGCAAAACCAACCCTTTTCCTGAAATCAAATTTCAAATATAACTTTTATCTCCAATTAAATTGTGTTCTTGAATAAGGATGTTGAAATATAATGGTTGTACCTTAGCCTTCTTGACACCTCCTGGTCTTGTGGCATGTTTCTTGACACTGAAGTCTGACATATCTTTAGCACTTTTGGATGTGTTATATTTAGACCTTTTCTTTTGTCCACCAAACCCAAATTTCTTATTTTTAAATTGCCTCTTTTTCCCTGGTCTGAAAAATCAATATTGCTTTTAGTAGCTTTATCAATAAAATAAAACATTTCAGGATTTGATAGAGATTACATAACACTGAAACATAATATTATATAAGGTACTTTTAAAAAAGTAAATTTTAATTCAAAATTAATTCAAAATCAATATAGAATTCAAACAAAAATCTTAAACTGTCAGACATTTTAACCAGTCAAAAATCACTTAACATGTTAAAATAAAGCGATAATTCCACTAATTACTTACTGATGAATTTGCTTTTTGTTCCCATCTATCTTTTGTTTGCCAGATTCCAAAAAATCCAGTTTATTATCTTGTCCTAAAAATATAAATGATACATTTTTTTTAAATTAAAAATTCTGACCAATAGTCACTTAGAATTCACCTCAGTGTGGGTGCGTGCATGCAATGCTACTATATCTGATAATCAATCACAACAATACCCATCACTTCTTAATGACATCACATTTATTTATTTCATATCAAACAACTTACAACCATAACTGACCTTTTCTGTATTTTTTTACAGCATCAAGCATTTCACGTTTCTCTTTTTGCCTTTTCTGAAGCACCTCATGTTGAACCTAGACAAAAAACGTGAACACATTTTACATGAATCATTTGCTTTAGATAAATATTTTTGTTTAAGAAATATAAAATCTACGGAGTTTAAAAACCTTACATCAGACTACAAAGAAATGACTTTAAACAAATAAGATGTAACTGCTTGTTACCTTTTTTCCAAACTTTCTAAGTTCTCTCAGTTTCTTCGCTTTTTCAGATCTATCCATTGACACTTGTTTAGCAAGGAGTTTCTCTCTAACCTGAAAGGAAAGGATTTGTATTTATGAAAATATTCAAATTCAAAACTTTATACAGCGATGGTCAGGAAAATTCACCAGCAACTTAGGGGCCAAAACCCTGGCACTGTTCCTTTATATGTACTTGGTCTCTTAAACAGCAAAATAAACATAATAATTTATGCAAAAGTTGAACAAACCTAATGGTAAAAACGTCTAGGGTTTCACATTGTACTCACTTTTGTCATATGTTCATCTGCTTTGGCCATCTGTGCAAAATAGTCTTCAGGTCTACTTGTGGGAATACCAAGTGAATGTAACCTTGGAATTGATTCTAAAACTGTGGTTTGAGCTTGTCTATAACTATAAATAACATTCCAAAATAAGAAACAATCTCCTACTTTATGTGACATATTTAATGCATTATTAAGAACTTTTATCTTTTTGGTTTTATAGAATGATATGCAGTGGATGGCGAAGGAAATATGTATCACATTAGGATTTTCTTCTTCTAATATGCATGCTTCCAAACAATCATTAAGAATTGGTTTCAAATATTTAAGAAGAGGAAATTCTGTATAATTCTGCATAATTTGAAATAGGTACCCATTAGTTAGCAGGGAAAATATAAAGCAAGGAATCAATTATTTTTATTGGTCCAACCCACCCCATTTTTTCTGCTCTTAAACTGTCCATTCTTCTCTGTTATATTCTGGTTCTTCCTATTTATAGTCATAACAATACTTACAATCTCATCTCCCTTTTGAAGTCATCATGTACAACATCTTCCCCAGATTCCTTTTCTGTTCCCAATACATCTGCAGCAGGGTCACAGGTGCTGTCCAGTCTCTCGACCCATGGGATAGCCTGAGATATCTCTTGAAGTTTTGATTTCATTCCAGCCTGTAAAACAGACATACTTGTACAACTACCAAAATAATAGCCTGTACATATATATATATATCTTTGGAGGATATAGCCTACATGCCTTATTCTAAAACACATGCTTGTCGAATTTTCAGACCACTTTTTCACATTAACTGCACCGTTTCCAGTATGATTAACACATGGCAGATATATCTAAATGTTAACAGGAGTGCTGTAGGTTATATTGCAAAGATGTTATGCTATTTTGCTAAGAATAATGCCCATTCAGTACTTACCACATTATTTATATGCACCTTGGGTGCTCTTGCTTCTATATTTAAGCCTGGTTTCAATTCCCCTCTCCGGAAAGCTTCTTGGAGCTAGAAAAAGAACTGATGGTATTTCATCCATGACAGAATCTGTTGCAAATTGAGCTCAAAATGTGGAATACTGTTTAGTTAAAACATGCCTAAAATATGAATTAATCAAGTGCAATAAAATTATCAGTACAAATTACATATTACCCCTTTGTTGTAAGCAGATTGTGAGGAGTCTTTCAATCACTGCTTTTATACACTCCATAATTCATAAAAAACTCTGGTTCGACGATGGGAATGCCACTGCCTAAATTTAAGCTTTATATCACAGATGAACCTTACAAGACAAACCACAAGTACAACATTCAACTTTGCATTGCAACTTTGCAAGGATTGCCAAAGGAGTTCATAACACTCTAGTTTTCAATTTGTATTTGGATTTTCCTAAGCGATTGAGCGTCTTAAATTTCATATACCGATAGGCAGCACAGTGGTCATAATAATACACGACAAAAAATCGATTTCATAGCATAACACTATTCAGTTTTACCTCTGTATCTGAGTCCACACTGTCTAATTCGCTTTCTTCCGAAGCCATGCTTTCTATCGTAAATGGGTACGTTGCTTGTCGTTAAAAGTACAAATGAACGAATTTTATCCACACATGATATTGTGTAAACAATAATGTTCTACTAAACATGAATATGTATTTTTTTCCATATATAATACAAAAATTTAATCTTAAACCAGTGGTGCACGGTTTAAGGGAATGCAGTAAATGGGATAACAATATGTAGGCTAGGAGAAAGAATGGTAGACCCTAATTGGTTTTCCAGTAAGTTGGGTAGGCCCTATAAATATTTGAAAAGAATGCTTTCCTGCTCTCCTTGTCATTTTAGCCAGCAAATCAGTGTTTAAACTCTGTTTGTATGACATGTAGGCCTACCGGTAATACGTAAGCCCCATAGACCCTACGTATACCAAGGCTATGCAGGAAAAACCCATAGGCCTACTGATAGTGGAAAGGTCTAAAAGTCGAGCAATTCAATGATTATCCCTTTTTCAAATACAGTGTAATGGTTAAAAAATGTAAACGTCGAGAAGTAGGCCTATTGGTTTATCTCTTTCATAGGCCTACCTTTAGCTGTAGGCCTACCCAGAGTGCAGATCTTTTATAACAAGGCAAAAACAAAACAGATTCACAAAGATAATTTATTATACTAGAATTGATAACATAGGCCTACCTAAATAACGTGCTGGCATTATCGAGGTATTTTAAAGCTTGGCTTTCCGAAAGTTTGAAAAACCAAGACGAGGTAGGCTACTTACAGCTGGCTACATAAAAGGTGAAATACTTCATGTTATATGAATAAATGCACATTAAGTGAACAAATCTCAAATGTGGCGAAATAGTTTTTTGGTTTTAACAATGACGGTTTAAAGTAAGTCTATTATAAAGAGAATCAACTTACGGAGATTACATCGACAAGTTAGTTTTGTGACCAAGGCCCTTTGATAAAAGATCGACACGTGATGTTTTGTAGGTTAAAAAACCGCCAGGCCTCTTTAGAAAACATTTGCTTTTTAACCAAATTTCTTTTAGTTCTTATTTTTCTTTATATACTGTGTAAGCAAAACTTTAAAAAACTGGCTAAACTGTGCATATAATTATGTAACACTGAATTGAGACATTCAATATTATCAATATCAAAGACAGTACATATTGAAATAATAATGATAGTAATTATAACAGGCGTAACCTCTAGTCATAACTAGATTAAAATCATTTACCTTAATCTAAACTTTGTAGAGCGAATGTACTTCGTTAATTCAGGCGTAGGCTGTCGAAATACGCCCCCATCAGACGAAAAGATAAAGGAAATGGGCGTGTACATAATTTTGACAGCTCATATTAACGATTCGATTTCCTTAACTACGTATCTTAGATTTGCTTAAAATAAATTAAATCACCCGGAAGACAGGATATCCGATAAACCCCCCATAACCTCATGTATTTTCACATTATTTTAAAGATGACGACAATTCAATTTTCGTTCACTCACTCATTAAAATTTAAAATTCGAGACCTTTTCTCCTTCGTCTTTCCTATTGAAAAGAATAAATATGCGTTTGCTGTTTAGGTTGTCCCCTAAAATTCCCCTCAAACGGTAAGAAACGTATTAGAATGGTCGTGTTTTTGAAATTATAAATTTCTATTGCTTTTCTAGCTTTCTGTAAATCAGACAGTTAACTAATAGCTATAATAAAAATTAATACAGTTAAATCATGAACGAATTTAAGTAGCGACATCGTTAGATCCATGTAAACACACTATTTAACATTGTGTATAAAAATCACTGTGCTTGGGGACTACATCAGTTTTTCATTATTTATTAACTATCACCCTACTGACTATATTCCCCAGTGTCCTTTTTCATTCAAAAGAAACCCCGAAAACTTGGTTTTAGTCAAATACGACGATTTAATACGTTCCCTGTATGTGCCCTGCCGTTAAAAATGAACTGAACCTTTCACCTCGATGTACAATTTAAGATACATAAACTGTATTTAGGCCTACACCTGACAATATACCATAGTACGTCATGGAATTTCAATAAGAAAATTCACCTGAACATCAACGGCATTACCATAACTCTTTTTAAAAATTTTGTTAGTGATGCCTGTTTTCATAAATAACAATTTTCATCTTCAGCAACATGACAGACACAAAAACCTATTTTATTCCTCAATACCGGTGCATTGTTTATGTCCTCTTTCTAGTGTGATTCATACAGCATTATACACCGTTAGATTTATAGACAAAATGTAACGAGGGTAAGAGTTATAGAACTACACTGGGAATTGTCTATTTATAGATTACTGTTGAATGAAAGGGGTTGGGGACAGTGTATGTATGTATGCTGGTAAATAAACTAAAAGAAGGCGCCGTTCTACTACTCCATTCTATTCTTCAAAGTGAGAACTGTGACACTATCTTGGACAATGCCCCCTACCACTGAGTGTTCTTGGATACGGAATTCTCATTTTACACTGGTCGTAAAGGGAATCAGGCGGAAGTGAGTGAGGGATGACCCTGCTTGCTGTGGAACCTCACCCCCTCCTAAGCCTCCAACCATATTTGTTAATGAATCCCCTATCTGACATATTGTGTTGAACATCCCCCTGGTTACTATATGGTCTGAAAAACAGGGCGACTCCGAATAATTTCCCTTGCTCTCGTGAATACACCCATAAATACTCGCTGCATACATATAAATATCCTCGTTTCTCTGGCGCTGCTAACGGGTTATGCTCCTACATGAACAGTATCCTGGAGTTAAAAACGTTTTGAAGTCTGGAACAACCCCTTCAGTGGTATTAGTCCACACAAACAGTGTGTGCAGTGTATTTTGTACCTTGCACACACCAGTGCAAGATCCTGCTGTTCTGGAACAGAAAATAATTCATCGAATTAACAAAAAAGTTTCATGGTACTGTCATATTGATTGACAAGCGTTTGAGCCTTGCAAAAAAAGGACGTCATTCGTCATGCTTAAACATGATCAACAAAACATTTAAGTTACACCTGGTAAACCAAGTGTAATATAATGATTTATTCTTACATGTTTGTAAAATTCCATGTTTTAACCAACTGTAAATCTAAAAAACCGTGTTAATGAATAATGCTTTGAATGTACGCCCAAATATACAAGCATTTTATAAGTAGAAATTCAACGGATACGCGACTAAAATCGGTTTTAGGGAATGTTTTTGGCACACACTTTGTTCAATTTGTCTTTCACAAAAACAACCATATCCGTACATTCATTAAATTACGAACTTCTATACTGTCATCTCCGAAAAAATACAAAAAGTACAATCAATTATAATGAACACTGACCCACAACAGCCAATCTGAAGCACTTGGTATTTCTCCTCCGACACCAGATGGGGGATTTTATGTGTGACGTTATCAATATCTACAAGGGTGTCGGGTATATAGGAATATAAATTTCTGAAATAATAACAAAATCAAATTTATATGTGAAACATAATACGTGGAAGAACATGCTGTTATATACGTGTTGCAAAATTTTTCAATAACCTTAAGTGCCATGTTTGTATATGCATGTAATTATTGCAACCTAAATGCATACAAATGCAAAAATTATTCAAATGCATTTTGTCACATTAATGTGTTTAAAAGCGTCCAATGACACGCACATAAGATCTTGTGCAAGATTTAAAATACCCAATAGAAAATCAAACCGTTATAATTGTTATGCACAGAATTGTTCCCACGAAAATACGATATATTCTGAGAAACAGTAAAACTTTGGTCAAGATTTAAAGTCAACATCCTGAAATTGTGCTCACGCGTGATTCTATCTCTAAATTTTCATCCATATTTTGGAATATGCAGAAACGAAGGATTTTGTATTTTATATAACATTCATTACTTACGTTGGACAACATAAATCTCCATCGGGTGTCGCAATGTTATTGATGTTATCACATAACCCACTGGAAGCAATTGCATCGCTAAGAAACACAACAGGAGGTAAAGATGTAGCTGAACTATTCTTTGAATAATTCCCCACTGTAGCGCTAGTTATTATTCCTTCTTGACCTATTGTGTCACTGAACACAAGTGGTAAGGGGTAACCGTAGGTTATCAATGAGCGTTCATGGATATCTTCAATTCTCATGAATGTTCCGGGATAAATTGTGTCAAGCTCGCGTTCTTGCAAGGCAGGATCACTTCTGCACATTCCAAAGATGCACTCTGAACAATTGACATCTTGTGTCAGATCTAGCTGTGGATTTTCTAATGTTCTCCAATTGAAAATTTTTCTTCTAGTGTTGAGAATAGCTTCTTTAAAATTTTTGCGTGCACGTCCCAATCCCCGAAAACGACCGGCACGAGTCTTGGCAGGCCTGGCTGGTCCTCCAGCTGCCAGAGCTATTAGAACGATGCAGAAGATGAGTGCTTTCAACATCGCCTGGAATGTATAGAACTGATAAATGAAATGATTTCTCTCTCTCTCTCTCTCTCTCTCTCTCTCTAAAGGTGCTTTAGTGATGTGTAATTTCGAAAGTAGCACGCTTTTTAAGGTTTCGTTTCGAGCTCATTTGAATATTTTACAAAGTGAAAATATGAATGGATGAAGTAGTATAAGGACACAGAGTAGAAGCACCTAACTCAGTTCTCTTTCAGGATAAATTACATATAATAATTTCTGTTAATAGTGTCAGCGAGTGAATAAATCATCGATGCTATAGACAACATAAGACATGTATTAATTTTTGCAAGAGCAGGAAATGGAACCCTTAACACCAAGTACAGAAGTAGTTGTTCATTCATTCTCTACCAGGGGGAGGGGCATCTCAAAACTTCATATTTTCTTTACATTAAAGTACTTCATACTATACACTTTGAAGATTATCAGCTGGCCGCAGTGATGTGCTGGATGAGCGTGGCCTCATGAATAAGTAAGAAAATCGCATCTCTACAGTCCTGCAGCCATAACAGAAGACTCTGATATCATTTAACATATGGTGGTAGGGCGATGATATGACTCCAAATTTAAGTGCGCGCTAAGAAAAATTGACATGAGTACTTCTGACATGGCCCTTACAAAATGATTTACATAACTAATGACCAACGTTAAAGTTATGGCCTACAGTGTACGTGCATAAAGCATTAGTTTATAGTGCAGTTGGTTGAAACGCCACTTATTTCAATGCCAAATAACTGAAATAAGGAAAACAATATCCCTTGAAGCCATAGGAGGCAAGTTTTGGTGCCAAATACTCAATGGAACGAATTTTGATCGCGTTAACCTCAGTTTATTCATAATGCAATAGGCTGTATGCAAAAGTATTGGTTTTTTTTTTTTTTTTTTTTTTTTTGAGAATTAATTAGTTACAGAGTATCTCACCAATCTGACCCTTGTACTTGATCTTGAATATCGATGCTGTTTTTATAAATAATTTAGTTTACATATTATAAACATATGTAATTTAAATGTTTTAAACATATTTAGGTCTGATGGTAACTTATCATTGCTTATCACAAAATTTTCATTAAAAAATACCAACCTTCCTGTGTCTGTAACACATATTAGTGATTACAGTAAGAAACAAGAGTTCGATAATACTGCATTCAAATACTTCGAAAAACCATTTGCACATGTGAGTTGGTGAGGTAGAAACATATTGTAGAGCATGAAAACAGGTGAACAGTCAGACAAACGGTCCATTAGATTATCCATTAAATGGTGTTTCTGACAAACTGTAATTGTTAGTTCCTGCCTTCATGTACAGTTGAATTTGTACGATTGTACTAGGGAAGGAAATAGGGCAAGTTAGACAGGGGTTGGATGGTAGGCAAACTAGTTCTGGACTATAAAGTGAAGTGATCCATTCATTTCTACATAAATTCATCCAGAATTCAAGAACGATAATCTTAATTGAATAATTTACATGTAAATTACAATAACGTATTGAATGTTGCGGTCGGTCAGAACAAACGGTTTCCAAGGTGCTAAAATGACCGCAGTGACGAGAGCAGGTTAATCCATTCATAAGCACTTGGGGTAATCAATGAAGAATGCTAAATCAAACGACTTGACGCCTTGGGATAAAGTTAAGACCGTTATCCAAAATATGTTTCACGAATGTCTATAAAGCATAGGAAGTAATGAATGACTTATAATTGAATGTGATAAAATCGATGAGGCCATTCCATCCAATTGATTTTTAGATTATATAACACTTTGTTAAATTTCTATGTCTATTTTTTTTTTTTTTGGGGGGGGGGGTTGCTTTATTATTTGCAGTCAGCGTGTGTTCACGCATACTATACACCCTTTTTGCAATAGGTATTAAGAGAACAAAATTGTTCTAATATATATATGGGGGTTGAAACTTTAAACATTGAAGAATGAAAGTATGAATCTAATTCCAGAAAGATTTTATCTAAATAAAAAAATTACTTATTCAGGTAATGTATTTTCGCAATTGCTTCATGTGTAATATCATTACATTAAGGCGTTTGCAGTACACCGACGTCAATCTGATCAGATATCTTTGTGCATGCAATTTTAAGGGTAATTTGAAAATATACATATATTTCAATTTTAAAAATGGTGATATATCAGTTGGTGATGAGATAAGCACTAGGGAAAAAGAAGGAACCAGAAAGTTTTCAAAAGTTTTATCCCGAATAAAAAGAATAACTTGAACATATTGAACTGCATTGGATATATTTATCCAGAGCGGCAATGGACATTTTGCATCTAGTTAATAACAATACTAGTTCTTGTTTCACAGTGTTGATTGGTTCTATTTCCTTTCAGTGGGTCCTATATTTACTCGGGACTGTGCCGTATTTATATTAATTTTCACCAATTGTCCGCCAAGGTACATTGTATGACGGAAAGACAATTTTCGGTTTTGCTGATTAAACTGCGTTATTTATGGCAAACCTACATGACATTGGTAATGTATTCAGCCATTTTAACAATTGAAATTATCTAATAAAATTTTATCAAATGTGTTGAAAATATATTCACAGTGAGATAACTTTGAAATGTACATCTAGAAATGGGCATCTTCAATGACAATCAGTATTTGAACAAGACTTTGTAACTGATTAATCACAGAACCTAGAATTCCACTACCAGACTCTAGTAACTGACGTTTATAATCAAACTACTTTAAACCCAAGAGTGGTAACAGAAATCGAAAACACTGAACATGACAATATAACATGTTGCCGTATGGTGCCCCAAAACTTGAAATCTGCCAAATACCCTGGAGCCTAGAATCTTTTAATTATCACAATTATATCAATATAATACATATCTCACAAGGATAAAAAAGATAAGAAAATCCCTCTCCCCCGTTCAACTGCAACTTTAGAATGTTGACGGATAATTTCATGACAAAGCAGTGTAGAAAATAGCATTTTTTAAGTATTTTCTTCTCAAACTTTCGTTTTAATGTACTCCTAAGAAGAAAAAAATTGAATAAAAATATTCTTCGAAAATAAACTCGAAGCTTTTGGAAAATTATTCATCCGGACCATTATGGCCGCGTTCAATATGCATCTGAGTTGAATGGTCTCAAATTTAAGTACTCACCATTCGCCAACTCATCCTTTTCAGCGTACCACACTTAAATAAAACTTATATAGACTCCGAAGTTTCATTTTCATCTGTCCGAAAAAGATTCCCTTCTTTTAGAGAAACTACAATCCGTACAATTATTTCCACGGATCGAAAAGAAGACACAAACACACGCACATACAAAGAAAATGAGTTAATCCACACAAGTTCATATAATACCGTTTCGAAACGAGATTCTAATAGTTGACTTTGTATTGCTATGAATCCAAAAATTTCAAGTGGGCGTTTGTCATGATAATTGCTATCATTATGCGATTAATTAACACACTGCACTCCATCACTATAAAATATCCAAAGTATGTGAAAAGGTGTGTGTTATTTTTAGAGAAGATGAAGAGATCGGCTAATTCTAAACAGTTCTTAAAAAGAAACTAAATAGAAATACTAGGAGATATTTAAACGTAACATTTTATTAATGAGAGATTTATTAAAAAGTTTTGCATTTTGTACGACATTTTGAAATAAATCAAACCGTTTATTACAGAGACAGAATTTCTGATACTGGGATGTGAACAATATCTGTATGTAACAATAATCAACTCTTTCCGCACAGTGCATACCCCTTCAGTGGACTTTTTTCACATCACTTGCAACTCTTTAACGTCAACGAAAAAGCTGACGTAAAACATAATACACATAAATCTGTCAATCAAAGGAAACTACACTGTGCAAAGTATTAGTGGTCCAGTTATGATGCATAATTTTTCTGGGTAGGTGCATAAAATAAATATCATGTCTGCTTTCTAACCTGGATATAGTAATCTTGGAAACATATTACTAATACAGAATAATATCCAACCAAATGCTTATAATGCCGAGAAGACCTCGCTATGGTTAACACAACGTACACACAGTAATCAGCAGTGAAAAGAGCAGTCTCTTTCTCGTCAATTTTTTTATTTTTTTTTTTTTTTTTGGGGGGGGGGTCCCTTTAATTTTGGTACCTGATACTCATATTAACTGCAGAATAAAAATATATGTCACTGTTTTATCTTTATTATGCCATATTGTATCGTCTGTGTACGTGTAGGCTTTCAGGCGTTCTTTTTATCGACTGAATCATGATGCTTTCCTCTAGCGGTCAGCATAGTGTTTATACTGGGAGCACGTAGGTGTGCGTTGTCCGTCCCGACAATCGTTAAGGCCGTCTGTCGTATCACATCATGAATTGTTTGTCCCGCTTTACTGGCAGGGCCTTTATCCAGGGACATAATATTGGACAAGATGTCACCTTTTGTCTACAATATAAAAATATGCTTATTAGATTGCTGTTCATTATGAAATTACATTTTATATTTGCCACAAAATGGGTCATTTTATGTATTGAATTGGTTTAAAATTTGACGTCTTATCTTAACATTAAAACTGGTGTCTGAGAATAAAAACACTAGTACCTAACTAGACCTAATAACAGAGAACTACATATCTTCTCATGTCAATGATGTAGCCATGGCATGCGTAACATTCGCAAGGAAGATGCGATTGCTACTTAGGTCTTGTTTTTGATTTGACACTTGAGAAATGGAGTTATACCTACTCCGACAACTCTTAGGTCTATAGGGGCTGTGTGGTGCAGGTCAGGGTTGTCTAAAATTTCGTCACGAGAATTGACCTCGCAAACTTCATCGAAAATCTAGTGACAACAGACGATGTAATATATGTAATAACACTCACAGGTACGTGGATGCATTCTCTAAACAAAGCTTTGAATATACAAAGAGTAGCAAAACAATGCAAATAGATAAAAAAAATATCGACCAATAAATAAAGATGCAGTTTTATCAAAATCTAGGCAGGACAGATTTTCATGTTGGTGAGTTTTTTTTTATTTGTGAGACATCTACGACAGATGTAAATGATCGGTACATGTACATGTAGAATTACAATAGACATTAAATCAGAGTAACCAAGTGTGTTTTTCACTAAGTAATTAATAAAATATGTAAGCGTGTATTTGAGAGAGAGAGAGAGAGCGATAACTGATTGTCATACCACAAGTTAATACTTCAGTGATACCAACCTCGTCTATTTTTTCACGGAGTTGTTTATATTCCACTAAGTTCTTCTCTAGCGCCATCAAAACCATTATGTATTGCTCCATTCTTTTGTTGTACAAACCTGGCATCGTCTTTAAAATAACAATGATAAATGTCGAGATTGTGAAAATTCAGTACATGTATCACGGTATTTTACGTATATGCTAATTCGTGACAAGATGGGCTTAAAAAATTCTGAGTGCTGATATTTGAAATACAAATTATGCCTACTCCTCAACTGACTGATCGAATGAGCAGTAAAAAAATGTGAGAAATTAAAAACTAACAGTTGGATACTCACTGATACTAGGAGAGGCCTTTGTGATGACAAATTCATTTTCCTGTGTGCTTCTTCCACACGCACCAACGGTACTTCTTCAGAGGCCTCTAAATTTGAGAAAAAAAGAAAAATGTAGCATAGATAACGTACACTTGTGTCGAAGATATGGGTGAAGATTTAAAGGCAAAATTTTGCCACAAATAAGAAAAGTGTTGTTTCTTAAAGGAAAGTAAAAAAACATTCATTTACGGTCATCATCGGAATAAACACTCGAAGCCAATGTGTCCTCCATGGCGGCAAACTCTTCGCGAAACTCACGCATGGCCATTTCCTGAAAGCAGAGAACATGTTTTATTCACAAAGAGTAGAGCCATGTCTATGTAAGTCTGTTTTGTGAATAAGCGCCCCTCCCTTTCTTTATCGCTGCACTTGCTTCTTGCAAAGCAAAAAATATTATTTCAGTCTAAGCAATTCTGCAAATTTATGTTCTTTATCTGTTGCAAATCTATATCAAAATTGTTTCCGGGAATACTTGCGTTTTGTCACATTAACCTAAAACGTGAAAAATTACTAAGTAAATAATGCCTACCAGATTTGTCACAACCACTGCCACGACCAAGTTGGCGAACACGAAGGCGCCCACCATAATAGACACGAAGAAGTAGATTGCACCACCGATGTGCACACTTCCTCCCATTTGCTTAAATATTAAAGAAAAACATTTGCCTAGATTTTGTTCTTGACATTCGTAGGTTTTCTAGATTTCAAAATTAAAGCAAAAATACTACAACGAATATTGGTTTAATGCATTCATTGAAATTGAAAAATGAAGTTGAAATTGAAATCGACATTCCATTCTCACCTTGAATTTTTCAAAGATCCCCACCCAACCGTCTTGAGTTACGCAGATGAAGAGAGTAAATATAGCTGGAAAAAGGTCCATGTATTTCAATAAGTAAAATAAAAGAACGGATAAATACACAATAATATACGACGTGCCTTTATAAATGTTTGTACACGAGTGAGCGATGACAGAAACTATTGCAACACTTAAAAAATTATAACTATTTCTACAAGGAAACAGCGTTCTGAAGCAAGTGCACCGCACCACAGATGGTATTTACCTGAAGGTAAGTCGCCAAAATATTCAGGAAACGTCTTCCCAAATAACATCACCCCTGCGACACCGAGCATGGTCAACAATATGCAAAGGAGTAGGACTATGTTCATCATGTCTGTGATAAAATGGATAAATGATTTTATGTTACTAAATGAAGACTCCTGTTGGCCACTTATGGATAGATTTTGATGACTGTAGGTTTTGAAATATAACAGGAATAAAGATAATGTCAAATGTATTTGAATTTCGAAATTGCATAAAAGCGAAGATACCCATTATAAAATTTAAAAAAGAGACAAGGTCTTTTAATTTCAACCATACATGTCCATAGGCATATGTCGTTACCTGGTATGGACTGCAGAATAGTTTGGACCACCAGAGACAAGCCAGATAGGGCGCTCACACTTCGCAAGCTCCTAAAGGCCCTCAACACCCTCAGTATCCGAAGAATTCGACTGCTACTTAGGAACGTCAAAGCTTAATGAAATATATTAATGAATTTAAATACGCGTATTACGTTTTTCGGTCTGTTTTAAATAAAATATAAAGACGGGTGCGATAGATTTTTTCGTATCCTCTTGATTTAAGATAATGACATCGAATAATGGCCAAAAAGTTATATCTTAAACAAACTAAGACAACTGTATGGATTAGCTGTTAGTATATAGTAGTAGTTTAGAAGTATATTCACTTACTCGGACCGAGTAACAAAGCCAATATGATAGTGAAATCCAGCAGGTTCCAGCCAGCCCTCCAGAATATCCAAAACCCGTTGTACCATTTAAGTAGGATCTCCATTGCAAAAATTGTAAGCACCACTTGGTCGAAGATGGAGAACAGAAATGTGTATCTTTCAGACTGCAAGAAATTGTATAAACACGCACTAAACAAATGAGCATGTACTGATAGTTAATAAATGTGTGTATTTTTGACTTAAAACTTCGAAAGTTTGCAACTTTCTGAAAATCTTTAATATTTCATGTTTGTCTTAGAGTTATGGAACAGCAAATTATGAAACCAAACCAGTTGCTTGTAAAAGTTTTCAATATAGGCTTCAATACAAGGCTCTTACCAGAACTTCGTCAGTTTGGATTCCAATAAGTGCCGAATTGACTACAATTAAACCAAATATCATCATACGGAAGGCAAAACTTTCCAACATTGTACCAACAAGTTGAGTGGAGACAAAGTTTTCTACAGTGCCATCATCTAGGTCAACAATATCATTAAAGTCTATCTCTGGAGGTTCCTCGGACTTGAACAGTTCTTTGATGGATGCACCTGGTCGTAACTGTGTAAGTAAGTGCAAAACATTTGAAAATTTTGAATGGTTGTCATACATTACTGTGGTATTCTACTTGAGCAGAAATATCTGAAATTTGCTTAAGAATCGTGCACGATACTATTTGAGAAAAAAAAAAAAAAAACGGACACGCTCGAGTAAGTTGTTCCACTGTTATGCTTAAGGGAGAGTATAAGTAGTGGTAGTAGCATTGTCTAGTAGGGGAGACCGGGGCTAGTTGGCCCAGTTAGACACTTTTGGCCTTGTAGAGCCAACTAGGAATGAGTTAGAGTAACAGAACCGGTTTTAAAGTAAGGCCCATGAACTAAGCTACGTATGCAACGTCATTATTTTTCAAATATAATGCCAGATGGCTCACAATTTGACAAAAAACGCAGTTGACGTCAAGGGGGCCAACTTGCCCCGCCACGGGGCAAGTTGGCCCAATGGTCGGGGCAAGTTGGCTCCCCTTTACGAAAATGAAGTATATATCCCATGTAAACGCCTTGAAATACATTTTTATACATTTTTAATTTATAAAACTGATTTTTGAGTGTCTTTGATGAATAAATAGTTCAAATGAGGCAGATTTATTGAGGTTTCAGTACGTCACGTTGGGGGGGGGGTATGTGTTGCAAGAACCAAAATATCTATCAATAAAATAGTTTTGTTTTAATTAAGAATACATTAATAATGGTATAAATCAGATTTTTAATGAATGAAAACGAATGATAAATTTTCGTTTTAAAAGAAAGTAACAAGTTCAGTTTTAAACCATTGAGTTTGTTTGAACAATGATCTCTAGCTAGGGAGGGGAGGAAAATCCCCTATATAACACTTTAAAAAAAGGGGAATTCCCTTTAAAATGAATTGAGGCAAAATAAATGTTTTTCTTGGGAAGGTCCAATGGATTTGCTTTTTAATACATACAATCAACAGAACATTTCTAATATAAATTTTCGAAAAGACAGAGAGCAAATTAAATAAAATCAATCAGACGGTAAACACCGGCAAGCTTTGTCAATTTCACCAACTTGTTTATTTCAAACAGCGTTGCGCGCAAAGGATTGTGGGTAACATGAGGGTCCAACTTGCCCCGAGTCTAGGGGGCCAACTAGCCCCGGGTGCACCTTTTTTATTTTAAAGGATGGCAGCCATTTATGATGCTAGAATGAGCAACGATGATATAGCTCTGTGAAACTTGAAACACTGAGCTTCAGTTTGATGCCCTATACATATATTATATTTCATTAAAAGCCTATGAAAATAGATTTTTAATTCTCTTAAACAAAATTACTTTTAGGTGCAAAAATCGTTCATTTGGACTCACCGCTTAAGTAAAACTCTTTAACGTACGACACTTCCTTAGTATTGTAGGCTACGGTCACTTTACAAGAGTATGTGGCCACTTTTTTTACCTCGTAGTTACTTTTTCATAAATTGACGGGGGGCCAACTTACCCCGGGGTCCAACTAGCCCCGGTCTCCCCTAAATGCATTTTCTCAGCTGTTAATTTTTTTCTCTCCCTTTTATTGTGACGCTGCATGATTTGACACAAAATGTGCCTTATTCTAGACGTATTTTAAACAGTGAAAAAAAAAGCCCTAAGTGGCAAATTTTGCTCAAACTGGACTATTAAGAGACTTACTGCTGCATCGTCGAAAAGAAATCTTCTCTGCACATCTTGGACTCTGTAGATATGATAAAAACATCATTTGGGAGGACTTCGATTAAAAAAAGACATGAGTGAATATATTTTAAGTCTCAATGATTATGGGACAGTTACGTAAAATCTGATTTGGAATAAGCAAACTCTATTATTTATAATCAATATAGGCCTACGTTTAATGATGAAAAAATAGAATAAGAAGTTCGATGGGGAATACCGAAGTTAACTTACTCGTCTTCATTTTGATTCTTAGTTCCATCTGATTTACCAAGACGACTAAGCAACCGGAATTTATTCGCAGCCTTTATTGAAAGAGAATCAAGAATTTTTATGCACGCCATATATATCAATCATTGCTTGAAATGTAAACTGCATAAATTCACAACTCTTAGTCTTATGGAATCACTAAGATTATAGCTAGATTCACAAACGTTAGTTGATGTGGTCTACCGCTGTAGCTAAACAGATTCTATTTTGGATAGACCAGTAACGCAAAGAATCGAATAAGCATAACCAAGTTACCGTTTGGAAAGATGTCTTTTTAGGCTGAGGTGGCAGTTCTGATTTCGTTGTGAAGTTGGTTGTCGCCATCTTGAACGTAGATCTGGCAGACTATGTTTGCTGGCACGTCCAAGGGAATGTGCGCGAGCAGCGTCAAGAACGTCTGACGTAGTTATTACTGAAATGCACGCGTATCTCTACGTTGAACGTCATGGTGTTACGTGAACAAAACAGTTACGCGTGACAGTGATTGCGAGGAATCGAGTGGGCAACATATTTTTTTTAAATAAAATAAAAGTAATTTCTGTTTGAACGCCAGTAAAAGAAGATTTTATTTTTTTGCAGCGTTGAATGCACTTAGACCCCCTTTGAAGCATCAATATAAAGTTAACGATAAAAATTATAAATACGAATGTCTTTCTCATCAAGAAGTTCTTTAATTGTTTTTAAAAGGACTGGACGCATTTTGATGAATTAGTGCGATAAATTTTGATCATTTTTTTTACATTTCTTAATACAAAAGCGACTTTTCAGCAGGTACACTGGACACTTCGTGCGCAGAAGTAACGGAGCAAAAAGGATTTAAAATAATCAAATTTTGAAAAGGTAAAACGACGTTCGAAAACAATCATTAACAAATAATTTTATTCGCCCTTCTCAACTTGATTAATTTAAAAAAACGATCGTTTCAATAATTGCAAATAAAGCTGCTAAAGGTTAATTTGAATTTGATAGAAAGGGTACAGCCAGGAAATAATGTTTGATTATTAATTTTTAAAAAGTTCACAAAAAAAAAATAAATAAATAAAAAAATAAATAATAATAAATAATAATAATAATAAATGGAAGAAAGGAGATTGTGTAGCAAACATATTCACTTAAGGGGATGTTGCAATTGACGGAATGCTGCAGGCGTTGCAAAAAGAAGATAACGCCCATTGATAAATGGACAGTCAGAGACAACAGGAGTCCATTCACTTTCTTTTTTTCTCTGTGCATGGAATAAATTAGGCAAACTTTTATTTATGAGGTTCTCGTGTTATCTTTACCAGCTAGAAGGTTGGCTTATTGTAAAAGTCAAACAAATACAGAAAAAAGTTCTATTTGAAATGACTTGCACCAAATCTGTCAACAATGATAATTAGCTACCATGCAACAATAAATAGTATGCTGATACGCGCACTGGTCTGAATAAGTCTTTGACTATTATAATAGCAGCTGTCACATATAACTGGATGAATTCATTTTCTGTCAGTAATTTTATAGCAATATAAAATATAAATTAAAATTTAAAGTCCACGTGAGTCCTATTTTCAGATCTTAGGTTCTATTTGTCTCTTTAATTTTAATCTTAAAACACATTGTTTATTTTCATTTCACAAATTGTATCAGCATTATTCAGTCCATCCATCTCTAAATATAAATAATCTTCTGTCCTATAAGCTATAACCATGTCTTCATGACATCATCATACTCCTCTGTTTTGATGAAAGGCAAGTCTATGCTCCTACAAAGACAAAATGAACAAAATAAAACAATTTTACTTCTCATTCATATGTGACATCTATAATAATTTCAGAAGGGAGAGCTTTTAAATTAAATCAAAATTTCAAATAGGAAGAATCATGAGACCTGTATGTAGACAAATTCAAATGGAAAATTCTGGTTTAAGACATAAGATTAAAATCACAAGCCAGTGACATATTTGCAAGTCCATGCAAGTATGAAAAGTAGCGACTGCAACTGAAAAGCATATTTAATAGGGCTCTCTTTCTAGGACATTCATAGCACTCACTAGCCTCTTTTCATTAATATTCAGTATAGGTCACAAGAAAGGGAGGGTCGGGGTGAGGAGAGGAAATACCCTTCAAAAAGATAATTGTTATTCTAATTTTAATTTCGATTGTTTTCATTAAGCAATACTTTGAGACACAGAGCTATTTCACAGAATTCAAACTTTCATCCATTCTCCAAAGGGAGCAAACATGCAAACAAGACTCATAATTTATTTTAAAATGCCTTAAACTGCAAGATTAAAAAAGTTTAAATTTCTATATTTTTTCTTTTCTTTCTTCCTTTTATTTTATTACCGCAAAAATATGGATTAAATATTTTTAAGGATGGCCTGAATTATTTTTAGTATGTATACTGATGTTAAAGCACATTCACATGATATAGTTTAGACCAGAAACAGAAAACCTCTTTTTTCAAAATATATATATTTTTTTGGTAAGTGAGTGCATAATGAAAAAAAAAAACTTTTCATTTTCTTTCTATTTTTTCTTTCTTTCTCTTTTTTCTTAAGAATGGAGGATAGCATATTATCACAAAAATGTGGATCAAATATTTCCACATCTCGATAGCCTGCATATAGATTAGGAAACATTTATTTCCAAAATATTAATTTTTTGGTCAATAAATGCGTGATGTCTATTTGCATGATGAGACAATTAAAAGAGACTACTTACTTGATCATGTATTCACCACAAAATACACACTCTGTCGCCACTATTTCATCCAGGGATGCCTAGCATGAGAAATAAAGAGCAGTCAACACTGTATGATCAATAAAGCAAGCCATAAATAATTCATGAACAGCAATATTAATTACCCATCTATCATGATAGCAGGCATATTTAATGCAATGCACTGTGTTCTTGACATAATTATGACTAATACTTACTTATGTTATTTTACTGTATTAGGTATACCTCACATATGTATTAGAGTAATCTCTTATCCACTTGTATACCAACTTTGAATTTGGAGTGCAACGAGATATTGCATGACAACAAAATTGTCAAATCTGACACAAGCCTATTTTGAACTGTGACAAATTTTCCAATATGAAAAAAAATTGACATACGCAGAAAATCATCTTCTGTTAAAAAATTTCAAGACCACCATATTCAAGTTTTTCGCTGTACCCTAAGTTTCACATTGCTGCAGACAATCTTTTAAACTACTCTGCTTTGATCCCCTGACTTCAAGTGGTTTACATTTAAGACAATGAGCTAAATGCACTTGTTCACTCTATCTTCTAGTTAGGCATCTTCTATACATGTTGTGTAACATAGCCAAAAATCAACAGTCTAAAAGTCCACACAAAATGCAAATACATATGCCTAGCCTTAATAAGCTTAAGTTCACAATCAGTTAACTCTAGGTGTTTAAAAGAAACTTCTTATTTTAGCACATTTTCTGTTGTCTTATGGGAAATTGAAAAAAGTATAATCTATATGGCACAATTTAGAAAAGTAGAGTGCTGTATTATTTTAATTATTAATCATTAGTCATTAATAATTAAATGGTATGAAGACAAAGTTTAAAAATTAAAGATAATCCATACATATATACATGACTGAGAGAGTTTGTGTAAAAAATGTGGAAAACAAGTGGATTGCCTTATAGCTATGACACCAATTGGTTTATTTATGGATGCTCATATTGTATTGCGAAGGTCAGAGGTAAGACTACATAGATATGGAAGCTATCTGACAATACAGTCTGCAACTAAGCTACAGAAAAGTTTAAGCAATCTTTAGTGGCCGACTTTTTTTTTTGGAAAAAAGGTGGTCATAAAATATATCACTGTGCTTAATTGTTAACCTGGTGTGCGTATGAAACAAACATGGTCTTCTCACAGACTGGTTAAAAGAACAACTTAATAAAAAAAAATCATACACATGTAAATTATTAATCAACAATGCTAGGTGATATTAGAAATTTGTCATCCAAACCACTAAGAAATCGCAAGACGGTTACTCTTTTCTTTTTTGGCAGAAGACCAATACAGGCACATTAACATAACACAAAAACTTTTATACAATACACAGTTGCAGTGTGGAGTGTTTTCATATTTGTATTGTATTTACATAACTGTCACTAGCAATAATAATCCAATTAAGAGCTGCTTGCATGACAAAATTATGCTTACCAGCCTTCTTATAATGAAGTGTTACTCAACCTAAAGTGCTCTTGCCATTAAGTTAAGTGGGTATATCACCATTCCCACTCTTTATTCTAATACCAACCTCTTCATTCCACGCCATACAGATTATTTCCAATTCAGATAAGAAATTGTGAATCTTCGATTTTGTTTTAAAAAAAAAATTAATAAAAGGCAATTTTGCACTCACCCTTAGATCTGCCTGTGTACCTGTTAAATTTTGTTTTAACTCTGGAATGGCCATGGTGGGATCTTCTTTGGAAGATGCCAACTTTCTCTGCAAGTCTTCAACTTGTGTTCTTTTAATAGTACTCAGATGGGGCAATACCTGAATGTCATAACAAAAACAACTTTGGTTTGAAGAATTCATTGCTACAACTCACTTTAAAATGTTTAACTGTAAGAAAATATACAACACTTTCTTCTAAAATGCCAGTTCTGTTTTACATACACAAGTGTAATTTAGAAGAAGTACTTTGAATTTGATAACATGTTAAGTATTTCAAGGAGGACAATGCCGTTCTTGTAGATAAAATGTCTTCAATATTGCTGCATAACATTGAAAAGTTTCCCCAGGATTAATATTTTAATTCACTCATTCATTTAATGGAATTGAAAGAATGACAAAACAAATTAAAATGGAGTTTTAAAAAATTAAGTAAATTATGTGTTTCCATCACAACTCCAATGCTTCAAATTAGAGGGAAAGCCTTTATTCAATGATCTAGCATAACTGTAGTAAGCACAGTAAACTCAAGTACAGTGTTCAAGTCACTGGAATGCAAATACTTTTAGAGAAAACAACTCCAGTAATAGTATGACACCCCTGGTACGTTACCTCAGTAGTAAGACAATCTGTGTGGAACTTATGCATGCAAGGAAACACATGGAATGTTCTGGTCATCAGTGGAAACCCACAGGAAGAACACTTATCCTGGCCCTTTACAAATGCAAATCTGTAATGAAAAATTGTCTTCAATTATATTTTTTTTAGATTTAAACAATTTACAATGGCCCCATTAGACAAGGAAATCACACCTGCAAACAATTCACAGACATTTATTATACATTATGTTTACTTAAATAAATCCTTACTTGTTTCTGAAGCTCTGTATGTCTCCTCTGATGTCCTTGGCACTTTGTGTGGCCTCTTCCATCTCCTCCTTCAGTTTCTCAATGTGCTGATTGTATTCCTGCAGGGAGGTGCAAATGGCATCCTACAACATAAAGTATGTAGTCAAAGTATAACGTAGGTCACTTTAATCTTGTCTATATTCTTGGGCATTCTTCTAGGCATGTAGCTTGGACCTTTATTTCACCGCTCCCAAAAGTCAAGTCAACTGTTCAACATTTAACAGCATTTTGCATTTAAATATGATAACTTCAAATATATAATAAGTACAAAGGGCAAACTTTCAAATTTTTGGTTTGCAGTCTCATTTTCCACTTAATTAGTATGATTATCCCAGTCATACCTTGAAATGATCAATTGTTACAAAATCCGGAAAGAAAGGTAGAATATCTTCTATCTTCAACAAATCACATTCATGGAGGAATGCCATGGCTCTTTTAATGTCTTTCTCTTCTTCTACAACATGTCGAGCTAAAGTGAAAAAGTTAAAGAAAGGTTTCTTTTTTTAAAACCAAGCAGAACCAGTTTTCATTCCACTATCATTGTCTGCAAACATAATCAACATTGCACATAGTTTGTGATACATATCTGCGCTTATATAAATGCTTGTATGTTTTCAAAAGTCAAGCTTAATCTTTACCACATACAAAAACTACAGGCATGCAAAGTACCTATTCTCAACCATAACTTTTTCTTCAACTCCAAATCATCCTCTGGCTTGTCTGCATTGTGCTTGGCCAAATCCACATCCACCTAAGAGGAAAAATTGAAGAGTTCCATTAGCAATTTCTTGTTATAGTGCATGTGGGTTTGTAATAAAATTACTAAAATAATTAATTAAGCACACAAACACACACACACACATTTTTTTTCTAAAACAATCTGACATGCTTTGAAATACTGCTGACCTGTAATGCTAAATCCACTGCCTCCTCATACAAGCCCATGGTGCTGTAGATGTGGACACAGGCTCTCTTCTGATCATGCTCAGCACATAGCCGCAGTGCATACTTCACATCATAGCTCACTTCTTCCTGGTCCTAACATCCAAAGAAGAAAGTCAATAGCAATAATGTGCAGATTAGCCTGAGAACTATTTCTATTTATCTCAAGCATTAAAACATCAAACTTCAGTATTTTAACATATTTTTGATGATTTGAAAGCAAACGACTAGGGCTAAGAGAGATAAAAGAAACAGGAACTTACTTCTCCTTCTAGTTTAAGATATGCCATCAGTTTATCAGGTTGCAACTTGGCATAGAGTGACAGGAGATAGTTATGAATCGCCTCATCTTTATTGTCCAGTGTTGTGATGCTGAATTCTAGATACCTGATGGCTTCATTGTCCTGAAAACAGAACAACACCCTGAAAATACTTTCCAACATTTTTTGCTTTTGAAAGTACTATCTTTACATCAAATACAACTTTAATCAGGACATTTTAAACCTATAATTTCTGTCAGCAATACACCTGATAATATAATATGAAGTTACACAGTGGTCTATTTTCAATTAATTACCGAGTGAATACGTGTGATTTTACAGTTCTAATAACCATTAACTCCTTGATTGTCTATTGGAAGCATAGTTACCAGAGCCAATGCAAGCAGAACATAGTCATAAATCACAACATTTTGATTACCATTAGGTGCCAGCAGAGTTGGCAAGCGCTGTATACATACCTGTTCCCTTCTCTTTTCATGGTCATATTGCACCAGAGCAGGTATTAACTTCTTGGGGTCTAGCTGTCTGCCAAGGTGAATCCAAACATCAACAGTTTCTTTAGGAACATGCTGCATCAGCAATGGTGAAAACTTGTAGACCAATTCTGTGTCATTCTGCAAAAGATAAAAAATATATATATTTACCCTGTTACTTGTTCATGGGTGATCACTTAAACATGAAGACATAATATTTTGTCAATTAAGGTTGCCAGTGATGATGTATAAATCCAAATAAATAATAATACATTATTGCTGCTTCATAAATGCAAATAAATGTTATAACTGTCCACTGACAGAAACCACAACATTACCGTGCAATGTTTTGCTAGCGTCTCCAAAGCTTCCCTGTAGTTGTCATGCTGAACATAATGTGTAATTACTCTTTCAAAATCTGCAAACAAACACGCAAAGAATAAGTAAATAATCATGTAATGGTATGTAGAAAAAAAAAATCAAACTGACAATTTGACAAACACAAACCCACATTTATAAAATAAAAAATCCTGGGCAGATTTTATATGTCATGTTATCAATGACATAAGTTTGCAAAAAAACAATATTGTTTAGGTTTAGTTTTTTAACTTTTAATTCATCTTTTCCAATAATTTTTTTAATAGTGATTTTAAAAAAGTAGCCTATGTGTTCTTTTCCTCACCTTCCATTAAAGTAGCAAAATAAATCAGATCCTCAACATCCCCATGACTAGCTATCAGGTCATAGATAGTATTACGGTTGTGTGTAACACAATCCTGAAAAAATAATGTCAGATTGACCATAGCAATTCTTTGGGATACTTCTTTTTCTCTTATTTATGAAATATACTTTAAAATCTATGCTAAGTAAAAGTAAATACTGCATGATTTTTCATTACTGTGCAGTATGAAATCAAATAAATAACAAGCATTTTTTCAGCCTTCTGTAGAATATAACATAATGAACTGACCAAGTAAAGTAGCTTCAATGTTAAACCTTTCATTGAAATCAAAAGCATCATTTCCAAACAATGTACCTTCACACGCTTAAAAGCAAGAAACTTTCTGAATTCATCTTGCAAAGCATCATAGTCCTCATTCATATCTTGTCCTTGCTCTTTTAGCTCACCAAGCTGGTTTAAATAAATCTCTGTCAACCATGTTACCAACATTGTGATCTGAGTTTTGTCCTGAAACAGAATTGTTGAATGATGATTAGATCAACTCAAGGGTGTCCTTAAACTACTGAAGATGTTTGAAGATAATAAACACACATATGATATATACGTATCCTTAGAATAACAATTTCATAATATAGAAATTCAGTAACCATCAATATCATACACTTCATATCTTTTTTTTCATGAGATGTCTCATCAAGCATGATATTTCTGCCCCAACTTCTAGGATAAGAATATGAAATCTACTTCCTGGTTCTTGAAGGTCTCTTTTGTTCCACCTCAGATGTCATGTATATTAATATGAAACTCTAAGTACCTCGTCCTTAAGTCCTTTCAGTTTTCTTATGAGATAAACTTTGAGTGCATCTTTCTGTTCTGTCTGAATGAACTTAAGTGCCACTTCTTCCAAAGAGTTGTTGAGAGTCAGAGCAAACAGCTTGGCACTCTTTTCATATCTGGAATGTGAACCAAGGTTTACAGAGCTGCAGAATGAATGAATGAATGAATGAATGAATGAATAAATAAATAAATAAATAAAATAAATAATAATAATAATAAACCATTTCCATAAATTACTGAACTTGGATAATTTCTTTTTCAATTCACTAAAAACAAAAAATCTATATTTAGCAAATATTGCGAGACATCAATATACAATTATAATTTAAATAATTAACAATTTTACACAAATTAATGAAATTGCTTTGTTGATTAAAGACAAATTTCCATCTTTTTTTATTGAAATGCTCCACTATGTGATAGTGTCTATAGCATTTTATGTTCCATTTCATATCATGTAGCATATAAATCATGATTGCAAACTTACTGTCCATCTTTGTAAAACTGCTCTGCCTGTCTTGTCAGCACCTTGTCCTTGTTAGCTGGGTTATCCTGGAAAAGGAGTGATAATAACATCTATCAAATAACAAGTTCCAATCTAGACAACTACAACAGAGATATCATTCATCTTCTAGCAATTATTACTAACTTTGTCTTCTAAAAAGAAATCATATGGGACTTTAAGAACATACTCATATCTAAAAACCAGGTAGGTTGTATGAGTATTAGGATATAGCCTACAATTTTCAGTATTTGCCAAATTAAGCCTATGTGATCATAGTATATAAGTTAAATAACTTAAATTCACCTCACAATACTTCATAGCCAATTCAAATTCCCCACGGTCAAGAAACATCTGCCAAACATCCCTGAAAAAATTAAGACCATGAGTGTTTAATTTTGCAACTTACAAACTTAACAACATATGTTAGTTAAAAGGATAAGCCTCAGTTGTTTGTCTAGAATAGTTACTAGTACAAACCTAGTTTCCCTTGTTATCTTGTATTTGAAAATGGACTGGTCGGTATAAGCCCAAATAGTTCCTCGAACAGGGTCTTTGCACAAACCTTGAAGAACCCCATGTCTCTGGAATGACAATTAAAGTTTGAAGTTAATAAAGACTAACCATGAAACCATGCTTGCAATTACTATGGATGAATTTGGAAAAATTAAAATTAAGAAGAATAACATCCAATTTTCCTTTTTGTATTACTTCAGTGATAAAGCATATATCCACCATCTATTAATTGATCGCTGTCCAAGAAGTCTGAGCAATAAAACTGCTGCCTAATATGACTAATGGTGCTACTCACTTCAGCATAGACATCATCAAATATCAGCTGTTCATTGAGCACACAGATGGCTTTTAACCTAAAAACAGAGATCAAATGCTTGTTATTGAGATCTAAGAGCTGTGATATTTATTAATGGCTTCATACTCAAAGCAAACATCATGACACACAGATTATGCACGAGAGATATCAAGGAGCATGAAAGGGTACTTGAAGAAATATCAGTACTCTTGTCACACAGTCCACTAATTCTTTCCTAGGCATATCAATTAATAAAACAATTATCATTTCCCTTTAGTAGGCTAACCAAAGAACAAATTGATCAGATAAACAACATTATATAACCATGTTTCAACATATCTAGAAACCTATTCATGTCACAACCACAAATTTTTTTCTAATCTCACCTATCTGGGAAGAGTATCAGAACATGGAACTCTGTAAGCACAATATCAATAGGTTTCGACTTGTTCTCATCATCTTTGGGATATCTTTCAGAAATTAAGGACAAATTAAGTGAAATGAAAAGAATGTTCAGTAAGTCTTAAATACATATCTTATTTGTTGTTGGACAATATTTTTTCTTTAAATATAATAGTCACTAATATAGTTATATAATAAAAAAAAACTTTATCCAGGTATGCTGTCTTTGCAAATGCCTTGTATAGCACAACTGAATCTGTTCATCATTAATTTCATATGCATATATCACCATCAATGCAGGATACGGCATAAGCTTTGTGTCTGTTGTGACAGAATCTTTGGTTGCATTTGGGTTTATCTTGCCATAGTAAATACCAGGTCCTGGAACCAGAAGGCAAAGCATTGTGTCATATTTAAACAGAAACATTACAGTCCATTATTTAAAGATTGGAAATGACTGACCACTGATTTACATTGTAAGCTAATGAACTTTTTTTTAAAAAAGTATGTTTTGAAACTTGTATTTACAAACTATTTTTCATGTTATAAATCCAATATGTAACAAGCTTTTCTATATATGACCTTATATCTCTTTAGCAATGTATATACTCAGCAACTTCAATGTTAACTCACCTGTCATCCAAGCAAATGAAGTAGGAAGACCTCTGTATTTTGGGTAATACAGCTGAAGTTTGCTGTAGCCAAAATTGCCAGGCAACTCCAGAAAACTCTCTGAAATTAACCACACAAAATGTGTCAAAATGGTAAAGGACACATTTTGGCAAAACAAGCTGAAAAAACTGTCAACTACTACTAAAAATAATAAGAGTAAAAAGAACTCAACTTTAAACAAAGGTTTACTGTATTTAATAAAATTAAGTTAGCTAATCATTTACCAGCAAATAATGATAATAACGAATGTAAATACTGACTGACACAAGCTGGTAATTATAACACATAACATGCTTGGAGATGTAAATCATTTCTACCTGGCATATCAAGATAGGATTCAAATACATGCTGAAACATTGGAGGCTCAGTGGAGCTTGGGATGTTACCTAGGAACTGGTAGAGCCGTCTGAAAAAAGACCATCAGCCTCCATAAACAATTACAGTTAGCCTCTGTCAAAAAATGACTTATCTTAATAACATATTCTCTTATTAAAAATCAGACTTAACAGAATGAATGTGTTAAGGTTGCAAATAACAGCTGTTTAAATCTATACGTAAAAATTACCAGATGGATTTTGCTAAAGCTGACAAATATAGTAATTCATCAACACCACAACAAAGGTTTAGAAATCAGTCACATGGAGAAAATGATTCCTCTTTAAATACACACCCTGGTGTGGTTGCAAGTACAAAATATTTGTACTCATTCATAGACCCACTGGGAATCTTCTCAAATGCCAGACCTGTGACATGGGCAGGTCTGTCCCTGCCAAGGTTAAACAACTAGAATGAAAAAAAAATACTTTAAGGCATAGCATTCTTTTCATGTGTAAAGAATCAACATAATGGCAGAAAGAACATGAAATGCCAGCCATACGATCTTCTTCAATGAAATAGTATAATTGTTTTTTTTTAATCATTTCAGTCACCAAACTTAATATTTATGTTTAGCCTTTAATGCCAAATGAGTTTTATTGATACCTCAAACTATTACTACCTCAGCTACTAACCTTTCTTTTGTACATAATAAATGAACATGCTTTAAATTTTTTAAAGAATTAATGATTTACTGTCAATCAATACAAAATCTACTATGTACTATGAATTGATATGTGTTTCATGGCTTCAATTAATTCTGAATTACTCATGTATATATCTGATAAAATCAAACAAGAAAAAATCTCAAACATTAAAGGTAATTTCAATTTCATGTGGAAGATAAGTAAAATTACTTTCCACCATCATCACATGCTCCAATTATACTTACAAATCATAAAAATATGACAAATAAATCAAATACAAAACTAAGAATTAAATAAAACAATTCAAATCAAGATCCCCAATTCATAAAAAAAGTAAAATAACAAAACAATAGAAAACAAGACTACATTTTTACAAATATATCTAAAAGGAACAGGTATGATGCATGTTTCATATGTGGAAGGTCAGAGGTACAGCATGATCAGCTCTTCTTCTCTCTCTTTATTTTTTAAGCATTGTGTAACACATTGGGTACTAGTGGCTTACAAAAAAATACATCCTACAATATGGCACAGACTTACAACACCAGCTTCACCCATTCATATCAAATTAGGTGCCATAATCAAATAATAATTACCTCCTGATCACCATCTGAATGAGTTATCTAAAGAACAGCATATAACTGATAAGAAATAGTGGCAAATCTAAATATTTTGCCTAAGCATAATATGCACCATATAATCTTCAAGTCATTAAAGTGAATTTCCACTGACCTGAACATGCAAAAATGTTATAGAAGCATAAAAGAAAGAGTCATTGATTTTTGTCAAAAAAATTCCTCCTGGAGTTTGGCATAAAAAGACTTGTATTACTATTCACTTCTCTGCAATATCATAAATACTATATCCTTTGTATTTTAATGAAAAATGAGTGAGTAAAATTAAATTTTGTCTATAAGGAAGTGAAAAATTATTAGTTTCCATCTGTTATCACTCTTCTATCTTTGAAAAGCATCAAGTCAATAATGAGCCTGTCATGGGTGCAGACAATATTCATTACCTGTTTCCAATACTGCTCCAGAGTGGCTTGGAAGAACCTGCTGTCCTCTCCAGACTGGATCTCAGTCTCAAATATCAGACCTGAAGAACACATTAGACAAACAGTCAGACTGTGTATAAATATAACATTAGATATGATAAATATTTCTTTCAATTGCCAAAAAGGTAAAGTGAAAAGTATCAATCAATCAATTGATCAATCAATGAATCAATTAATAGTAAGTCATTCCAAAGATCTGAGCTAGCAAATATAAGTGCTTTTCACTGGAAGTAAATAGGAATTGTTAACAATTTGAAGACAAGCTGTATAACTTACCTTTGCTGGTCCCCAAAAGTATGGATCCAGTGGTGGTTTCTGATGTATTCTGGAGGTTCCAGCCAACTGAATCTATCTGATGACCCTATTCAAAATAAATGTTAACTAGAGACATGAATTTGAATTTCTTCTTAAACTTCTTTGAAAATTTTTTTTAATAAGAATAAATGAATTGCTTATCTACAAAATGTGTTGTCTATTTAAAATTTCTTTCTAATAACATTTTGCATTCTCATATGCAAGAAATGTTCTTTTCATAATCAATTATTCCTAAAAATCCTGTTTCTATTAACAATAACTTGCCTAAATAAACTCAGATGACAAGCTATCACATATCATCAGTGAATCTTCATTTAGCACAACTGTTTAGGTAAGTGAAAGTAATACTATGAAAGAAAGGCTGAACTGTTGTTAAAATGTTCCACATTTATCAAGTACTCTTCTAGACAAATGGACACTACAGTGTATGCATCCTGCATACAAAATGCACCAAAGCATTCAGCATTGGACTATGAAGTCATTGGTACTTTCACATCTCTTAATTCAGATGATGGATATGCAACTGGACAAACCTTCATTCTGCCCAGCAGTTTAGGTTTCTTTGAATTTCTTGATAAATAGTAGTTCTCTTGTGATGACATGCTGACTAAAAGATGTCTGCCTGTGGGATCCAAGAAGATTTCGTGTATTTTGTCTGTCCCTGGTTTTGTTACTTCCACCTCTGAGGATATATAAATATGTGAAATATAAATGTTGGAAATCATCTAACAAACAATTCTGGAAACAAAATGTAATCTATTTACAGACCACTTGTTTAGTAATGTTTCTAGCAATGTGAAATACTGGGTATGAATCTCGGGAATGATACCCTAGTTATTTGGAAATAGTGGAGCAGCTGGTTTAAGAAGAAGAAAATCATGTAAACTTTACAACTTTGACAGGGGTTTGAGACTTAATGGTTATGAAAAAAAAAAAAAATCCCAAACACTAGAGGTTTTAGTTTTATAACTGTATCATTTCTAAATGGCTATTACCATCAGGTGCTCCAGGGTTTTCTAAGTCAATCCTTAGCAGCATATTATTAGTCAATGCCATGACCAGAAAGTTGTTACATACTACAGTGTGGGTTACTCTGCCTGGTGGACTGCAACAGAAAAAGAAAAATTCAACAACATATGAATATCACACCAATTGCGTAAGTAACAGTAAATATCGTAATATACAGTAGCACTTCTTAAAAAAGAATAACATTTGTTACAAAATATTTTGAATTTTTTTTCTTTTATTTTGTTCAGTATTCTGTCTCACTGATTATCACCAAAATGTCACCTGAAGTTAATTCTCTGTTTGCTGAAGATTGGAGTTTCATCATCTAGGCTTGCAGAGATGAACCCTGATGTCTGGATCTGTAAACCAAGTATTGTCTTATCATGCATTTTCTCTCATCACCTCTTAATGTTACAGCATTGATTATTTTAGTTTATGTATTGTACGTGTTAAAAAACAATTTTAGTCTAATATTTCACACACACGCTCACAAATGAAGTAAGGAAATATATAAATAAATATTCTAAAAATGTTTAGTATGTCACACATTTTTGATTACTCTCTATTTACTGACAATTTTATCACTCAAGATTTTATCATAATATCTTTTCCTAATGCTAAAATAATATTTAATGCCTATCAAAACATGCTAAAGACAGTACTCACTGGTTCTAACACAGCTTCTGCTGGCTTATAGGTGCTGTAGCTTTTAGATGAAGCTTGCTCATACTGGTCAAAAAGACTGGCCATTTTTGTTCTTGTCAGCTTTCAACTGAAAATTAAAAATCATGAGATTTAAAAAATCTGGTTCCAATAACATAATAATCAATCATTTACTGTGACCTTTAAATTGAGCAGCAAGGCAAAAGGTGAAGATGTATTGTCTAGTTAGGGTGCAAGAAAGGCAAATCAACAGCATGAGTTTGGACAAATGACTTCCCCCAAGGACGTGTAGTCTACCACATGCTCATCTCTACATGAAAATGGCTAGGGTGTTGGGACAAAAATGGCCAATTCCCACGGAGAAAAAAGTTATTTTGAAGGTAACATGAAAATGGTGCTAAAATGAATTCATATACAGCACTTAAATGTGCAATTCCAAATACCTATTCCTTTTCACTGAGACTTCAAGTTAACGAAAAAAAGAAATTGCCTGGGGACAGGAGTTCAGGAGTTCGCACTTTATTCTTACTGTATGTGTACATGTACTGGTAGAAGTCACGCTCGGCNGCAAAGCCTACTGCAACTTTTAGGAAGCGAGCATATTTTATGTTAATATATACTCCATAAAATATATGCAAAATGGCACTGTGCAAAAAATAATAACCGTCTACCGATATGCAAAGCACAAAATAAGTCAAACCTCCTAATATTTATCTCCCCGAGCTCATTCTGCCTCCTCTTCCTCAAAAGCCGTCCTTGAACTCTTAGTGCCTGAATTTGACGTCATATCCGGAATGGCTGACTGGCGAGACTGGGCGCTGAAGGCCTGCCTATTTTTCCTTTCTCGTTTTCCTTTAGTAAACGCAGTGACGTTGCTTATGGTGATAGGAGCAACAGCAATCAGAGAGGAGTAAGTTTTTGATATGATATCGATCAGTATACGCAGTACATCGTAGTACATCGTAGCGGTGTAAGTGACAGGTGTGCCTCCCTTCGTTGCTTACCTTAGTTGAAATACACCCGGCCCAATACACCTGTTCAGCATTTATACCTCACAGTGATTGATAGCGTGTAATATTCTGTTCGCAAATTTGTTTCATTATCCTGATGAAGCTGGCCCAGCAGAACTTGAAATTTGATTAGATTCGATTGTACAGCACTGTACATGCCAGAGTAGCATCCAAGATTGACCGCCCAAGATTCACGCGTTAGCACTCTTAATAATTATAATAGTACTGGTAATCGTATTGATATGTCAGATATGTGCTATTTATGCACATCTATTATCTAGTAGAAATACATATGCTAACACACAAAATTTTGTGCTAAACAGGAGGTACATGGCATTAGCTTTAGTACTACTGTAGCATTTCTCCCAAATAACGTAACACTTAATCCAGGGGAATTTACTATATGTTTATAATAGTATTGATGATTCTTCTTTTTGCATGAATCATTTTCTTAAATCATTTTCATGCACATTCTTTTCCAGAGACTCCCCGTTGCCACCTAAACTGGTATATGGTCATGTAATCGTGCAAGTGGTCTGTGGAATGGCATACCAATTAAAATGGAAAAGAAAGGAAGTCTCTCTGATTTTGTGTGGACAGATGCTACATCTTGCTTATGTAGCACTCACATATCCAAAACTTCAGTATAGTGATTGGCTCAGGGTATGTGCAGGATTTTTGTATCATAGATCATCTATGTTTTAGTTATTAATTATTAATAGAATGTGTAGCTCTCACTGTGAAAAGGGATGTACCGGTACATTTGAAAATCTCACCTTATCCTAGAAGTGTTTTATTTATGATACATATAAGAATGGGTGATAATGAGTGAAACAATATACAAATGCAGGGACCTATAAATTTAAGGAAAGTTAATTAAGAGCTAAATTTTGAGGCCATTTGTGCACACAAAGTTTGTAATGCTGCTAACCCACTCATCAAGTCTCTTAGTAAATGAACTATGCAATTTATCTTTAAATGTATGTTCTCTAAAAGGCCAATTCATCTTTTACAGGTCAAAATTGCCAGCCGTCTTCTTGGTCCAGTTGGGGTTTACCTTTACTTTGCTGACTTGCTGAACAAAACATCATCCAAACAGCTTAGAAAATCTTCAGAGGCAATCCTTGGGACCTACTTGGTCTGCATATCATACCTGCTATTGAACAGTTCTGATGACAAAAATGGACTAAAAGCTCATTTGCCAGGAGGAGACTGGGCATTGTATGTCATAGTTGGCATGTTAGGAGCATGCAGTGTTGCTTTGTTTTCTGGGATGTACTTGAGGGATGCCTGTTACCTTACAATAGGCCTAATAACATTATACAGTGTATTTATTGAAGGTGACATAGACTTTTGGACTAAAAGACGCAGAGTACCTTACTGGGTTCACATAAGACTTATTTTAGATAATGTTTGTGTAATAGTGGGGCTTATTTTTATGAGATTAATGCATGGAAGAAAGATGAAGATAGATTAAGAAAGTTTAATATTTTAAATTGGTATTTTTTGCTCTATTTATTGTAGTAATTTCTGAGGGTTGCTAAATAGTCTATTTTAGACAGATTTTGGAATATGAAATATTTCCACCAAGATACCGGTGCTAAACTGTTAAATATTTTAGAGCTGATATTTGTGTATCATCAAGGATTAGTTGGTCACAGTTTCCATGTTGCAATCTAATGACCCACAAAGCTACATCAGTGCTGAGACAATCTTAAAAAACAAAGAATCTCTGATATTTTAAAAATGTATTTTTCATATAAAATAAAATTAATTTTTTAAACATGATCTAGTGTATAAAGTCAATATGGAGTTCAGTTAAAGTTCTTCAAATTGTGTAATGACTAAATTTACAGATGTCAAAAAATTGTGAAAATGATTTACTGTGCAAGAGACTTATTAGCTTTTTCTCCTGGCTTATTTTGCTCTTGCTCAAAGTGTTATATATATTCTTTTGTTTCTTCTAAACAGTTCTTGATTGCGCCTTTGTTCCATTTTACAATATGCAGATAATCAAATTGATTTTTCACTAAAATATCCATCATTCAGCAAATATCTCCAATTTCATTCCCTTTTAGAAAGTATTACACTATTATTCTTTCATGGATGTTAATGTAATTGCTGTACATATTTATACAGTTTGTTAATAAATAACTTGAACACAAATCTGAAGTTTTTCATTCCTTTCTCTCTCTCTGTGCATGTGTGCCCAGATATCCCATCTACTTTGTCAGATAAGTCTGTCACTGCATCCTTCAAATGTTTGCTTTGCTGTACTTCATTGCATCCATCTTGGCACAAGGAACTGGGAGTTAAATTCCAGCTTTTCAAGTTAGATTATGACCAGAACAAGATGCTGAAAGCCATGGCCACGCAGCATACTGCTACCCACGGACTCTTTCTTTCACCTAAAATGAAGTGCAAAAAATATTTGTATTAAAAATTGAATAAAATTCCACATTTCCAAAACTACTCCAGATTCTACTTGCTGTTTTTTATATATCGCAACGTTAAATGTGCTCCAAATAAAAAAGGTAAATCTCCATCAACTCAAGTTTGTGATTACTTACCAATCCTTGCACATTTCCAAAATATACCTAGTAATCTGAAACATAAGAATTAGAATTATATATATTGAATGCAATACTGTACATAAATAGCTTGGATGTACGTTCAGATATTGAAAAAATGCTTTAACTAAAATACATGTATATTAATCAAACTTATATTCATTAAAATGCAACTTCATAATTAATGATAATATACTAGGCTAACAGAAGGTGACAGTAATCAATGCACAATACAATATTAAAGACGTAGTATTTGAACATGTAGCTCAGTGGTAAGGCCAATAACCTTACCCTTCCTTGTTTTTGTCCAGCAGCCTGGGAGCCATTGACCTCACATAGGCACAAGTGCAGATCATAAGGAGAATCACGGTCAGTAGACTTTGAAAATTAAACAGGGCCGACTGGAAAAAAAATCAATCACAATTTTTTTAATAAAACTAAAAAACACCATAGATTCTTCTTTATTTGGTAACATTGGCAGTAGCAATGTTGAAGTGAACTGCCCTTCAACTTGACTTTAAAACCACATATTACCGAATTGTAACATTCAAAAAGGTTGGAAGACTTTAAAAATGAAATAAGGAAGTAGTATCAACAAGTAACAAGCTGCTTTGTAACTCATCAAGCTGTAACATTTAGGATGCTACGAGATGGATACTGTCTGATCATGCTTACAGGACTACAAAATGGATGTGAAACTAACCGAGAGTGTTACACATTATCAAGAGTTTAGCTAAGAGAATTCTTCATTAATTAAAATATTAGGTAAAAGTAGTCCGCACTGGAATACAACATTAAGTTAAACCCTAGTTAGTCAGTGAAACAAATTGCCAACGTGTCACTAGAACAGGAGAAGTACTACTTAGCGCAGTCGTTTGACTTTATTATCCATGGAACGGTTATATTGAAATAGTTACCACACAGTCTATACTATACAGTTGCGCATGAGACACCATGTTAACTGAATATTTCCCCAAAACGTAAAATAAATAACTAAAAACTTTTTGTCTACCATGATCGATGATCGTCCTTGTCTGCTACCTGCTACCCCAAGTACCGGTTGTTGGCAAAGGAATACCCGAGTACCGGTTGTTGGTAATAAACACAAGTGAAGTGAATGAATGCGGAAAGAGAGCAGACAGTTTTTTCGTCAAATATATTATGTGTGATATGCAGATTTTTTTCTGAGCGAGCATTTAAAATATCTTACCCAGTGTTGATTTAATCTAAGACAGATAAAAGCATCTAGAACTGTACAGAAGAACCCATGGGTAACAGGTTAGTTTCTCCAAGGAGTTATAACTCCTTGGTTTCTCTCAGTCTCAGACTTAAAAACTAAAAAACCTAATAAGCAAATACAAAATTTATATCTGTAGCTTATGCAATGGCGTGCTCCAGCGATCCATACTTACCTGCGGTTAGTAAGGATCAGAGTATTACGTGCGGTTAGTAAGGATCAGAGTATGACCTTGCACCAAGTTAAAGAACATTGTACTAGTACATGTACTGTATGTTTAACATGTGGGTGTACTGTAGTTACAGGTACACATACTGGGTACATAGACATGTACTAAACCATTTGCCACTTTTATTTGTAAACCCTAATCTTATGAATATTTGAAAGTGAAGATTGTCTTGAGCTATTTATTATCTTCAAAGTGGATTTTTTTCAGATGCCTTGTGCAAAATGAATCTATTTTGACAAATACACAAGTCAACTTTAACAAAACTAAATTGTCTTTCTAGGCCTTTCTACAGCTGATATCATCAAGGTTTTTACAACTTGACTGTCAGACCAGCAATAAATGACAATGTCCAGAACAAGGAAGACTTTTACCAAGATCACCACCACTGACAAAAAAACTTACTTTTTACTGAGCACAGTTCATGATGAAGGCAAAGAGGGATATCATTTGTTACTGTCAAATGGCAAGCAAGCATGGGCTGGAGAGTGTAAGTACATCATACAGATACATGTTAGCATTTTCAAAAATATATATCTTAAATTACCTTATGTACAGTTGACTTTATGCTATTTTCAATCAAGTTTTGGTCAGGTCATACAATGTCATTGATCTCGAAGAACATTTAGTTCATATGTATGGGCATGTCAGATCAAGATTCATGAATCCTGTAGTTGGTAACTCAATTTGCATTTCTTTTATTTTCTATTTTTTCTACACAGTAACAGAAGACAATTTGTTATTTCTATTTTTTCTACACAGTAACAGAAGACAGTCTGGATGAACAAAGTTCTGAAAAGAAAATTCCTTTCCATGACTATGTGTCTCAGACTAAGAAAGCTCTCACAAGAGAGGAGGTTGGCACCTTTAACTTTATCTATGAAGTCAAAAAAGAAGAGGAAGGGATTATAAATTTTATTTGGAAGAAATATATACCTTCGTCAAAAATTAAAGTAAGTGTTTTCTGTTTGTTTTTGTTGAAAAATGGACAGCAGTGAATCACTTTTTAATCCTCATACAATTTCATGTTAAGTTTTTAGTGTATCAGCTGGTTTCAGTTTGTTTCATGAAAGTTTAATAAAAGTATTTGCCTGTTTTAATTCATGTCAATTTAAATGCTTCCTATAATCCAGTTAAATAAGTTTATTTCCACTGTATCATGGCCCTTCTCAGTATGAGGTATAAATTTTTATCATTTTAATATTTGATGCTCTCCTTGTATAAAAAACTTGTATTTCTGTCTTGTAAACAGTTCCAAATAGGTGAAGTTGCCCTTATGGAAAAGGAAGACCCATCCCACGCAATACAAGAAATATTTAATTATTGTATAGAAGGCAGAGTGGAACTACTGGATACAATTTCTTCTTTGAAGATAGACAATGAAAGGCTGTCTGGAGAAAGAGCACAAGCACTAAAGGTGCAACCCATAGCATAAATCATATATTTATTGTTTTTCATTTCTTAAATGCACATTTTATGTACAGTTAATTTGCATATTATTTACGTAAGAGGATTTTAGACTTATAATGAAAGTTAAAATTCTTCCTAACTTATTACTTCAATATGTATTCTTTATTTGTTGTTTATTCATCTGTTTTAGAGATTAGACAAAGTTGTTTCTGCTAAAGAAGAAATGGAGAAAGACCTCTATGCAAAGGTAATGCTTTAAACAATGGTTAAAGTAAAAAAATGAATAGGTAAATAATCTAATTGGTGCTTTATTGTATATTTTGAAATAATACTGGAGACAAAATTTCTTTCATTTTCAGTTTCAAACCATTTTGAATAGCAAGAAAGCAAAGATAAGGGAAACTAATGAAAAATGTGAGTTAAAATACCTTTATTAATGATACACTAACATTTCATGTTTTCTATTAAATTTGTTATTTGATAAATTTGTGATTTCCCTTGAGTTTTTGTTTTATCGTTTTATTGGAAAAAAGTAACTGAACATTCAGTATTTCTTAAGTATTCAGAACAATTTTAGTTTGTTTTAAAGAAACATATAAGTACCTTGTTGTTGCAGTGGAAAATGTTGCTACAGGCCAGCAAGATGGATTAGAAGGTTGGTAGATTTACATGATAATAACAAATTATGAGTCACACAGTTATTCATATATTGTACCAGTATTAACAGTGAAGAGTCCATGGTTACGTCAATACATGTCTAATTCAAAATAAGCTTCAAACAATAAAAACAAACACCTTTTGGAAATGTAGATGGGAATTGCGCATTTTAGTCAGTGTGGAACTTCATTGTTTGTATCTTAGGTGGAGATCATGGCAGAGGAAGGGATTCTGATACTGATGATAATAATGACTCTGATCAAGATATACCTGAGAGAAAACTGAACAGCAAACGGCCAAGGTTGGAGAGGTTGGTTGACCATGCTTATTATTTTGTGAATGAAAGACAAAAGTTCCAAATTATAAGTGGGATTTGTGTATTTGTAAACTGAAGTTCCTTAATTTTATAGAGAATTTGCATATAATCATTGTTGTAAATTAAGAACAGAGTGAGTTGAGCATGGTTGATAAAACTGAAGTTTTTTTTTTTTTTTTTTTTTTGGTTTTTAGTGATGAAAGTGTGACCAAAGATGAGGAGGTATGGGTTCATGACCATTTCTAAGTCAAGAAGATAAGTAAAATATACAATAGGAACATGAAAGATACAGTTTGTTTTGGTAAGACATTGTTAATGCTTGCATTGCATTGAGCATGTTTTATTACTTTTGATATCTGCAGAATTCTGCTTAGTACATATTAACCTGACTGTGCAAAATTCCATTTTTTATTCTCCTTCAAGAGAGCTTCCACTCCAACATACAAAGGAAAGGGAAAGGGAAAAGGAAAAAGTGCTAAGAAAATCTATTCCCTGAGTGCAGAACTTGATGAAAGTCTGGTCTTAGATGATGATGAAGACACAATTCCAAAGGAACCTATTGGAAGAAAAAAGAGGCAAGTGATTTAAACATTGGGGTTAGATTAGCCTAGTAGAGGTAGGTAAAAAAATAAGAGACTTAGGGCAGAAACAAACTGTATTATTGTCATGGGGTTAAATTTAATGAGATATGGGTTTCTCCTTTTTTTATAGTATTTAAATTGTTTTACTTTCTATAAGAAAGTAAAACTGTTGATTTATAAAACTAAAACCTGTTCCAGTTGTTTAAAGTACTTAGTTTATCAACATTCAAACAGAACCAGTGTTCATTATGTCTAAAAGATATTTTTATCACACAGACTTCCCAGACGTGGTGAGAAGAAACAGACCCCTGCCAAACCCACACTACCCAAGGGTACTTCTATGAATCAACAGGGCAGGATGGAAAGGTAATGAAGCTCTGATAGGTTATCTGTTCACTAAGGATGTTACTATTTAATTATGTGAAAATGTACAAGTGCAAATGAATTAAGATTTGCTTTTCTCTCCGAACCTATCTGTTTTTCTTCAACTACCACATAGGTTTCTGTAATAAATATTCTCTTCCAGTGTGACAATGGATTTAAATTGAACATTTTTGATGGTGATGTTCTCGGGGAAAATGGTGTAATTATGTTAAGTTGTTAAACAACTAATTTGACAAAGATGATATTTTTCTGTTTGCATTTCAGTCCAGTCAGCAGTCGCCGCCCAAGTCTAAAAAGAGGAAACACTGGACTCTCAAATCGCTCATCTGATAATCTTGATGCTGATGACTTGCTGGCAAATATGTAGCTTTGAAACATGAAGTATTTCAAGATTTTACAAATTATAAAAATAAGTAGAATCTAGATGTTTTATCTAGAAACTGAAACATTATTCAATTAAGAAAAAATACAAATTGAGGAATTATTTTTTAAGAATGAGCAAAAAGCATTTTATTACAATTCTTTCTCCTTTTTTTATTCCTGTGTATTCTCCAGAGTTTACAATGTCCACAACAGTAACTGTGTACTTTTTGTAAGTGTACTTTACCAGTGAATGTTTGATAAAGGATTGGTTCTTGGTTTAAAGAAAATTTTGCAATGGTTTTGATATATTTAACCCTTACACTATTATTCAAGATGTTTATACATAGATATCACTACTTTAGAGCTGATACTTATATAACCAATTAAAATTAAATGTTGATTAAATGATTTTATATTAATTTTCATAATTCTTTGCCAAGGCCATAACTAATATTAAAAATATTTTTTTAAAATGACAAGACTTGAGATGTGACTCCAGGTAGCCATCAACATGCGAGATCCCAAATAAATACAAAATATGAAACAAGGGGCAGTTGTTAGGATATTAATGAGACTCTTTATACTATACAGCATGTCAAGCAAAAACCAGTTATTCCAATTTGACCATTAATTGCAAACCAGAAACCAGTAAAAACATTATGTGGCATAAATCCATTATGTCATATTGTAATGACTTCCAGTGCACCATAAAATCTGGTAATGAACAAATAAAGTTTTTATGCAATCCATGCTAAGTACAAACTTTCTACATACTATCAAACTTTGACAGTGCAAGTTGTACAATGTTTTTCATATTAAATATAAAATGAAGTAGATTTACTACCAAAGTGCACCACTGTCGTGTAAAATACTTTAATAATTCCCATAAAAACTGAAAAACATTGGTAAAAATGTGAACATATTGGAATATGGAAGACCAAAAATGGAACTGCATTTTTGCTTTAAAAATCCCATCTCTTAATTTTTATCTAATTCTTTTTACAGAATTTATTTCAGTACCAAACTTTTATACAATCACTAATACTGTCATCTTCCAGCCAATTAAAGGATAATTTCAACCTTTGACTGTTTTTATAATGTCATCATTTTAATGGACTTCTTTTAGAACAAAACTTTCATAAAGCACCAAAAACATAACATGTAGTTGGTATTTGTCTCCACAGGCTTATACCAGGAACATTCATATGGTCAAAAAACCTACCACAAAAGAGATACAAGAATTAAATTAGACTGGTGTAAATAGAGATTCACCACAATACCTAAAATGTCAAGACAATTGTGGAACTTTTACACAACCAGTTTTGAAGAAGTAAGGTACATTAACAATTTACATGCGAGAAAAATGAAAAAAATGCTTAGATGATATAAATGTAAGAATGAATAAAATATATCAATGGTATGAGAAACATATTGCACATACTCCTCTTCTTAAATGTACATAGAGATCCAAGTTAGAATAAAATAGAAACAATCTATAGGTTCTCTTAATGAATTTTTAAAATACCTAATTTTAATCAGAGATTTGCATTAACTGAGCTTTTCAAAATAGAAATGATTTAAATGCTGCACTCAGAGGTGTTTTTCCCCCATGTTAAATAAAGTGCCCTCCACTACAAATTGCATTTTTCAATATACAATCTTGTACTTCCTACAAATCTATGTCAGTCATATTATATCACTAGACTTATTTCCCAATCAACATAAGTCTGTAAGCTTAGGTCTGATACTCTCCATAAATTGTTCAGTTTTCTTAGTAGAATTCCCTGTCATGCTTATTTGAAAAAGTAAAACATTTTATGTAAAAATGTTTTGGTACTTTTCCCTTGCACTGCTAATGGCGTACAGCTATTTCCATTTCTTAAATTAATTTTGGTCATTATGAGCTACTTCCTAACAAACACATCCTGAAGTATCATGTGAAGAAATACATCTTTAAAAACACTTTAAGCTTACATCGCAATAATTTTCCTGATTCTAGATGAAATCCAATGTTATCTGCCTGTTTACAGTTTCTTTTTCTTTGTTAGCAGCACATCTTCTTTTTCTTTGCCTCCTCTAAGTGAAGGGATTTCTCAATGGCTTTGTCTTCCTTATCTTTTAGCACACTATCAAAAATATAACAAATTGTGTTTTATTATAAATTAATGTTCAAAACCTGTTTTAAGAACAAATACTCCATTTCAAAGCTCACAATTACTTTAGTATTAAAAATTTTATTTTAATTTCATATTTTTTTCAAAGGTACATTTGACAGACAATCCTGATTCTTTCAAAGTAGCAAAGGAAAAAGTTGGTACAACAAATGTAATGATATGGCACATGTAGTCTTATGGTTGAAATAATCATCAGGTGAAATTTATCTGACACTAATGACGGACAATGACACTTCGAAGATGTGGAATTATTTAACTAGGTAATGATAAATATGGCACATTTTAAAGAGAAAAATAGCAACTTACGCTGCCATTGCTTGAAGTGATTCCTTAACATTTATTCCTGACTTAGCACTGGCCTCATAAAATAATGCACCATTTTCCTGGAAAATATGTTAAGGAAAATATTGTGAATAAAAGATGTTTTTAATAATTTATGCTTTAACATTTTAAAACAGAATTGTAAGTGGTTCATTTTTTTAGTAAATGGTTCATTTTTTAAAGTAATTTTATTAAGTGCCAATTAAAAAAAAATATTGGATTTGCAGTGAACCAAGTTTTAGAGATGATATAACATCCCTTTAATGTTGGAAAAAGATGACAACAACTTTAAACTGGTTTAAAAAAAACACTTATAGCAATCCACTCTACATACAGTGGTTAAGGATAAATAAAATCTCCATAAAAGGAACCCTTACATCTGCCAGGTGTTCCCCATCCTTAGTTTTGATCACTCTGCGGTAATTACACTCAATCAGGTCCACTTTGTTACCAACCAGCATCAGCACTGTGCCATCATCTGTTCCCTCCTGTATATATTAAATAAATCAACATCCATAACATTTCCTACTACAATTTGATAAACTAATATTGTACTTTGTATATTGTAGCAGAACATATGAGATATAAACATGTGACAATTTGAACTTACAAAATTCAGTTGTCTGAAAAAACAAAATGACAAAATACCAATCCATGGATCACTGGCCATCAAAAATTATATACGCGTATCGAGATAAAGAATCAGTTTTAAGAGTTGCATGTACCTGTACACTGGCAATCCAGTTTCTAACACTTTTAAAGGAACTTTCTGAGGTGACATCATACATAATCAGCACCCCATCAGCTTTACGGAAGTACTGTTTGGTAATACTACGGAACCTGGAAAATCATGATCAAATGTGATATATGACATTAAAATGTTAATTGAATTGAGCATAAAAAAGAAAGCTTTCCTTGCCACTCAGTAAAAAACCTTTTGGTATTTTCAGACACTTAAGGGACATTATAAAATTGAAAAATATCATAGAAAATAACAGAAAAGAAAAATCTGGAGGACCTTCATATTGCACCTCTGCACTTCAATAACTAAAATGCAGAGAAGGCACAAAAGACAATAAGTGCACAGCTAGGTTCAATAAAAATGCCTGCAAACAAAGACTCATCAATCTCAAGGTCATATATTATTTACCTTTCCTGTCCTGCTGTGTCCCAGAGCTGCAGAGCAATGACTTGACTGTCCACCAGCATAGTCTGCACCTGGAAATCCACTCCTGAAAGAAAAATTGATTTTTTAGCACTGCTTATTTGTCTTCAATCTCTCCTTAAATATTACAGGGACTGGTCATCAGTTTTTCTCTCATCCATACAGTCTGCTGTGACTCTAATTACATTCCAAGTACCAAAAAGCTCTTGAATGTAAGTTTTTTTTACTTAAATTATAATGATTATTATTTATGATGTGAAATTATAATACTTTATCCTCTATGTATTTTAACATGTAAAATGTAACCTTCCAGATTGAATTTTGACATACATAAGATGCAACAAAGTGAAGTAATCTTACCTATAGTTGCACTAAAGGAAGGCCTGAACTGATTGGTACAAAACCTGTGGATAAAGCTACTTTTACCAACACCAGAGTCCCCAACAAATATGACCTTAAACAGTCGTTCTGGGGTGGAAGGAAGCCCAGGGTCCTATAAAAGAAAAATGAAGTATATTCAAAAACATCACAAAGAAGAATTTCTTTAAGCAATGAAATATTTCTGAACTTTTTTCTTTGGGATGTTCAGAAAATGTCTACTTTGTGTGAGACTATAATGCATTAAAATTCCAACCAAAATCACTTTCAATCCAATCATTTCAACAGCTGACCTTTTTTTCTCATTAATATTTTCTCACATCCAAATACCCTATTCCTTTTTGAAGTGTGTTTTGTCTAAAGTCTTTAATTTCTTTAGATGGTCTCTTGTTATTACACTACAAAAACTCTTACTGTAACTGATACAGTAAACTTCTACAATTTCTATCCCCATCTTTCAATTCCCCTAGTCCTTACCTGCTCGCCAACCCCCATTTCTCTGACATCACTTGCTCCAATGGGCTGAGATCTGAGAGCAAGGGGGCCATGACCAGAGACAGGAGAGCGCCTTAAACTTTGCTTACCATTCTTCTCAGAGGAGCCACTCCCTCCATTTCTACAAATAGAAGAACAACATAAAGTGAAATGAAACCCAACCAGTTTTATCATGTAATCTGATTCAACTTTTACAACCTGACTATTTGACTCATAAAATAAAGCAAAGAATATCAATTAATTCTTACCTTCCTTGCCATGAAGAAAAAAACATTAAAGATGCCAATTTTTATGTTAGTTTGTTAAATGGGTACATAAAGAATAAATCTTATTATAATATATATGACACATTGAATGGTTAGAATGACTTTCATTTAGCTCTGCAAATAGCTTTGAAAGCAGAAAGCCACCGGGGGAAGTCCCAGATACTACGTAGGTCAGCATTCCAAGCAAGCATTATTTCATGTAAGTTAGCCCAAACACCTGTCAACCAAACTGAAACCAAATCAGTACATTGTCAACTTAGTAAGTATTGAGAATAACTAACATGAGTGGGTCCTTGCCAAAGTGAATGGTTCCCATGCAAATGGATGGAAAGGCAAAATAACCCAATAACAATGGCATGAAATCCAAGACCATCACCTTAAGTAGACTCTGAAAATGATCAAATCTACATTATTACATTGTAGGGGCCTCATCGACAGTTTCCTCATCTACAGATTTTAGGCTATTGGCTGTCTCCAGAGCCTTTTTCACAATGATGCCCCAGCTAAATTTCCTTCTAGCATCCTGAATTTCTGGATTCTTTTCACTGACCAATGTCATGTTGGCATAAGAGCGTTGCATAGTTCTAGAACTACAATGTGGGTTAGTGTTAGATTAGGAGAGATGAAATTTACCTCCACCAACATTTCTTTTTAGTTAGTACAATATCAGCTGAATGTATTGTTCTAAAATTTGAAGGCTTTTTGCACTCCTGTCTGAAGACATATAACTTTATATAGTTACACATATGAAATTAAGCAACCTGAATAAAATTCTTTTTATTTTAGAATTATTGCTGTGAGTGCACATACTGTTAATCAGGCTAACTTGCAATAATATGAAAAAATATGATTTAATAATTGTAGAGGACCCTAACTTTCAAACTACATTTACTAAACATGATTGCTAATTGTATCATATGTAAGCACTATAAAATATTATCTCATTTTGTTCACAATACTTCACACTAATGTGAATGTACAGTAACACACTGTTAATCAACTTAAACTACAATAAGTTCAATATAATTAATTTAATGTGCTGTTGTTATTTCATTTTTGGTGTCATATAATTTGAATTGTCAATATGGTGTTGCAAATCAGTCTCTGCGTGATATTAATATGTGCATCTGATATTATGATTAGTTTCAAGTTGATAAACCTGAATGTGATATATAGCCACTGATCAAGAGCAATCAGAGGCACATAAGTTAAAGAAAAATCATTTAATTATCTTTATATGCTTTTATTATAAAAGCATGTCTTTCTGTTTAATTGATGACAGGATAATTTTGCTAGACGATCAAAAAGCTGACCCAGAGTGCCAGAGTACATACTAACATTTGCCATACCCCTATTCAGTGGATACCACAGATAAACTTTGTACAGAACCACTATCATGTGCTTTGAAGTATTTCTGCAAGTACTCTGACACTAGGGTAAAAGAATTCAGAGTGTTATTTCAACCCTCAACCATGACATAACCACCTTGTGAGATTAATCTCCTCAATTCCAGAGGCAATCATGTTGTCAATGTTCTCATTGACCTCCTCTATATCACTGCCTGACAGTGAACTGCTGGGTGGAGGGAGGGAAAACAAAGAAAACAAGCATTATTAGAAATACATGTCTGATAAGGAAATCATGATATGTGTTTGCACTTTTTTTTTTTTTTACAAATGGAAACTATTTCTTTGTTTCAAAATGTAACTAGTAAAGAAGCAGCTAATGCTGACATATATACAGACTATGACCTGCAACAAAATTGTGTTCGGACAATACAATTCAATGATGCCCACTTTTTGATATAATACATACAAATTCATAAAATGAGAATGATTAAATTAGCGCAACAAACAGTATACGAAAGTTCCTTGAAAAACATTTTCCATTTTCAAAATTTTAAAAGTTGTCAGTTTTTCTTCAAAAGATACAGTGTAGCTACATTCTAATGAATGACTGACAGGAAAACATATTACTATTATTATAAGCCTAAGAGAAAACCAGCCTGTGCATATCCAGACGCTCATAATGATGCATTTTATTCATAATAAAAATAAGTAACTGTCACACCAGTACCTTAAAGCTTAATTATAATGATCTGCTGTTTTGTAATCTTAGTATAAACCAAAACATTCATTTCCTTGAAAAATTCATTGAAGTTGGATGAGGAAGTTAGTGGGATACCCCGCATACACATACCCACACCTGTAGCCATGGAATACACTTTTTAGTGACAAGAACATGCAGTTTTACTCTTAAAGTAAAATAATACTTAAAATAACTACTTTACAAGCACTGGCTAGGTTTTTAGAACTCAACTACATGTAGGTTGTACAGCAAAAGCAGATGTTTAATGAATAAAATATAAAGGTAAGGTTCACATGTAATCATCAACTTACTCAAACCTTTCATAATATAGCAAAATAAAATATGTACAGTTTTTTACCTTTTATACTTTCTGGTTCGCCTACTTGTTGTCTCTATAGGTTTATCCCTATCACTGGAGTCACTGGAATGTTGGTCTACTATCTGCTGGAGATGACTGCGATAAGTCCTACTCTTTCTAAAAGAAACATTATCAGAAGTGTGTTTATATTTTGTGAACATCATGGACATCACTTGGCTACTCCTATTCAATTTTTTATCTCCTCTATTTCAAGCAGTATGTATGTACAATGCCATTCAGTCCTGAAGAATGGCATAACCAAGGCTTTATCATGGTGATCAGTTATAAATGCTCTTCTTAAAAAGTTATTTTCAGCTCTTAACTTCATGTATGGATGAAGTTAATAAATTTTCATGAAGAACATACATGAATGAAAATTATGACTCCAATTTTTTTCAATATTAAATTACGCCAAAAGTATCATGAAAATCATTCAAAAATCAATTAATTAAAATAAAAAAGTAATCATTATATCATTATTGTTATTATTATTATTATTATTATAAAAATAATAAACTTATGAGCAGACAAAAGAGCATACCTGTCTTTCTTCATCTTCTTCTTCCCCTCATTTTCACTGCTAGTAAGATCTGCTATATATGGAGATTTCTCTTGACCTACTGTGCCATTGTTTTTTAAATTCAACTCAGACTCTTCTTTCAAAATTCCATTTTTAACAACATTGTTCACTTCATCTACCTCGTAATCTTCTGATCTGAGATTTTCAAATCCATTTGGTTCATTTTGTGAGTATCTGGAAATTTCTGCATCTGCCTCAGAGTCTGATTTTTCTTGTAAGAGAACTGAATGTAAATTTGCTTGGTTCTGAATACTGTTCACATGATGATGAGATGGATCATGTTGATGATAATGTTTGTGATGATTACTGTGATAGCCACTTGTAACTTCTTCCTCTTCTTCTCTCATAAAATTATCACCCTCTGCTTCTTCATCCTCTTCTTCATAACCTTCTTCTTCCACCTTACCCTCATTTAACCTGTGATCATATGAAAATATAACCATTACAAAAAAGTAGAATGTGTATTCTTGAACAAAACTACTTAAAGTACAACAGACACTGCTGTAGACAGAAACTGTACCAAATCAATAATCAAAATGCAGATGGCAACTAATCAGGTCAAATGGCAACTCTGGAGAGCCTGGATAACAAAGCACAAAACTACTACAGCCTAAATGGCAATAAAATGGCTTTTTCATGATTGATGTTGTAACTTTGCATTTACAACACATATCATTACCTTTTATCAGACTGAAAATAGTTTGACATTATAGATCCTTGTTTAGTGATTTTCTTTTTCTTTGCTGTTTTGAAAAGTACCCCTTCTGCCTCTGCCTGGAATGCACAGAAACTGTATTTTACTCTTTATCTTGATCAATAACATTTTTAAAAATCACTATCATACAGTGCAGAGAAGAACTAGCCACAATGCAGACTTAATGACTTACATGAAATTTCAAGAGTCTGTCTTGTGTGTACAACACAGTACAACACAGTACAACACAGGCAGCATGCAAGAGTATAAAGCAATATCAAAACAAGTGTTGTACTATTTTATTCTCACTATACAACAGATCCAAAATTCAACAAATAAACCATCTGGTATTTGTCTTTTAAAGATCCAGAGATGGCTGCACTTATGATCATGTTTTCTTTTTATAATTATTATTATTTACTGTTTTTCGTGTAAGCACAAGTCTTTGCACTGCAGCAGGTTTATTTCTCAGAGTAACCCACCCAACAAAAAGGTAGAGGATAGTTAACATAAAGCACAAACAACAACAAAACTATAGCACTTTACAAACAAACAAAAATAACAAACTTATATATAAATTTTATTCCCTTTCAAAGTTACATGGGATCTTTTGTGAAATCCTTTAAATCTCCCAACAGTGCAACTTTATTCAAAACAAAGTTATTATGTTAAGTTCGTAAATAAATTTTAGTATGCAATCTATCTGCAATTAATACTACAATTAGTGAAACATACAGGAAAAGCTATTATAAACCACCAAGCAATAAACTAAACTATATGTTAAAGCTATAAGTGTAATAAGGTGTACATTGGCTGCCTCACAAAGAATGATAAGCATCTATGGTAATGACTTTTCAATGGGCCAAAATTATCAATCTTTTACATACATAATTTTATAAACAAAAAAATTATACTTAGATCTAGCAATCATGGTGCTTTTACAGCACAATAGGAATGTTATAATTTTATGAATTTATGAAAAAAAATACAGTATCCGTAAAATTCACAATTTTCCACATTGAAAAAATTAAGTCATCACCATATTAAATTGTATTTCAAATTTTACAATACGTATTTCATCTGAAGTTCATCCATATATTAAATTAGACAATCTTCAAATGTAATGCAGTGGGTAATCATGTTATTATCCATATTTCAGACAGTCAATATACATGTCCTACACCATTTGGACAAGTCCATCACCTACAGATATTACAACTACAGGCATCTGTTAATTCCAGCAGTGAAGAACATGCACCAATACTGGGAAACTAAAAGAGGATAATACATTTGAGTGATTATTGCATGCATACAGTTACCACAACCTACATTACTGTAATGATTGGTAAAGAGCACCGTGTGCAACAATACATTAAATTTGGATTTATTTATGGATATTTTTTTTTCATAATTATCAGTGAATTTTAACAGAAAAAAAGACCACTTCAAGAAAACAACACATGAAATAACATGAAAAAAACAAGAAAAAGAAAAAGATGTTTATAGCAATGTTCAGTCTATTGGTTTCAACTTTATTGGTTTAACTGGAAAACCATTTTCAAAATTTTCTGCATATCAGCAAAACAGCTGTGGAAGGAAATCCTTTATTGGTAAACCCTAGCTTACAGGCCATTTACCAGAAGAATTATCAGGTCAGAAAACAGATTATGAGGACATACACACATATATAGAACAACTAAATCTTGCTTATAACTAATGTTTTGTTAGACTGGCAATTTTCATGTACAGTTTTCATAAGAGATTATATACAATCAAAATCAAAACAATTCTATGATTAATTTGTCACAGTATCAAATATTTTGAAAAATTTCTAGCAGTACTGACAGAAAAGAAGCAAAACCAGAACCAATCAGAACCAGACAAAGAGGGAAAAAAAACATGCATGATCAAACAACACCAAACTGCAATACACATCAAACAGGTGACAGGTAGTAATCCAAACAGTAAAATAATGAGTAATAACATAAGGCAAGGCCATGCAAATGTCTACTACCTCCGACAGTTCTTGGTGTAGAGTACTTGGATCTTGTGCAGCCTGAGTGTAGCACAAAGAAGGGGACAAAAATGTTCAGTTTCACAGCAAAACATACATATTTCAAGCAAATCCCATCAATATCTTATCAAATATGACACTGGATTTATCGTATTATTGTTTTACAGAGGTATTTATAAATTCATATTCAATACACCCCAACAAACCAAACATTTCCAGAAAATCACAAACAGGCGATCAAATCTTAATGTTAGTCATTGGAACCCAGAGCCACTTGGGTTAATTTACTGATACATTAGTTAGTAAACTAGACAGAAAAGCTGACACAGATACAGGCATTAAACAAAACTTTAAAATGGTTATTATAAGGTGAAAAAGAACAATAAATTATGCAAAATTCCTAAAAAAAATTACCACTACTTTTGTAAAAAAAAAAATCTAATAATCTGAATGTGTAGATTTATACTCTTGATTTTTTAATAAATACAGCCTAACTCCCATTTAATCAAAAACTAAAACAGAAATTTGGCAGTTATAGGTTAACTGAAGGTATCAAATGATGATGGCAGCTGTTTGTAAATACATGTCAAGTTTATGAAGCATATATCTGTCAGAGAGTTTAGTTTTTTAGGGTAAATGACAAAGCTAAAATTTTAGACATTCATATGTAACATTACTTACTCTCCTTTTTGGAGAAAAAAAAGTAATGAAACTAATTAAATCACCAAATATGTTAAAATAAGTTAAGAGTAAATACTAAAATTTAAAAGGCTTTGTTTTTAATGTGTTTAACTCTCTACAACTTTCTGTGGAGTATAATTACTGTGTACAGTATTCATTATTCTAATAAAAGTGGGATAGTGACTACATAGGAAGAAAATTATCTATCATACCTACCCTTCTGGCCTCAGCTTCATCTTTGTCATCTCTCAACTTTTTGTTCATGTCTCTAAAATGAAAACCATTCAGCTGTTATGATCATCATTACCCACAGAAAACAAACACATGACATAAGAGTTCTGGGAATTAGGTTCCGTACTTCTTGGGTTTCTTTATCCTTTGAAAGCCTGGTAGCAAACTGTGCATATTAGGCAACATTGCATGCAGTGCAATTTCTTGTTCATGTAGATAAAACATTGGCTGAGTGTGTGCCTCTAATATTATTTTAAGAGACCACAAAACAGCCCCTATGGGGAGTGGGGCTCTCAAGCAGAAAAACACTTTAGCATTGATAATACATAGTGTTCCTGTACATCACTGATATTCTTTCCTTGATGAGTCTATTCTAATTGATGCTTTACTACATCTTGTGTAACCGAGTGGGACAGAGACTGAGATCACCATAAGCATGAGTGCCAAGTGGTCCAGACCCTCTGGTGATACTCTTTAGAGTTTCCTGGAAATTTCAACCTTTCCTGCACCACCAAGGTTATCCATATCCAAAACCATTTAAAAATTCCAATACAGAAATCCCATTTTGGAGTTTTAATATTTTTTCAAATTTTTGAGTTACCCTTTTAATGAAGATAGAGATAGGTAAATTTCACCCACAATGGTAAAAATTTAGAAAAGGGTTTAGCTTTCTCAACAGTATCCAATAGCGTTTATAATGGTGAAAAAGGGGAAATTGCTAAAATTTCCATGAAAATCAATTATATTTTCTATAAAGGTCTACTGCAAATTGTATGCCTTTAGCAGATGCACATCTGACTGGTTGCTTCAAAATTAATATGGTCATATTTTAGAAAAAATGAAATCCACTTGCAAATGCAATATGTCTATAATAAAGAGAACAATACTACAGTATATATTTGGCCAAGGGTTATACAATGAGACACCGTCATGGTCATTAACCCTTGGCTTTTGAAGATTCATATTTCTCCAACAAGGATATTTTACAATATCTACATATAGGCTTTCATTCACTTACCTCAGTAAATCTAATTGCTTCACTAAAGTCTCCCTTTCTAATGCTATGCCCTCTGTTATCTGCAACGCAGCCCTGCAAATCAAAGTAAAGTCATGCAATATAAAACACAAAACATCATATCCTACGCACATTCTGTGCACAGAATTAGTTTTCCTGATGGGTGCCAGCCTAATGCACAGACTGGTATGGTCTATATTAGTGAAAACATACAGCTGGAGAGGCACAAGAGAGCCATAAGCATGAAATATATAAAGAAAACTCTTGCTGCTATGGTGCCTAGGGAAATGATGAAAAATCACCCTGTCAGCATAAGTCAAAATTTCCTACCTCACAGAAAATAAGAAGTGACAATGCTTTTTCAAAACATACAACAATATCTTGCTTAAAATTATATAAAGATGTAAGCATAAAATACGGAAAAACACTATGCATTCAATAATTCAAGACCATGGCACAATGTATCAGTACATCATTACTGAAATCTTGTAACCCCACATCCTGTTCCACATAGACCTAAATGTAATTGTATATACTCTCTGAATGCTGATGTGTCAGTTTAGAGCTACTATATTAGGGATTCATGAATATAATTTGATTAACAAATGAATGGTGATCAAAGCAAGGGAAGCAATAACACAGCATTTTTGCTAACTGAAGGACAAATATTGAAAATTTTATTGAAAGGAATAACAGAAACATCAGTCTTTGATATTTTTATATTTGCTTGATGAAACACAACATGGGATTCAACAAGAGAGCAGGATGATTGTTAAGTAAATTCCTTTGTATTTGAGAGAAAGATACATAATGAACGGAAGCAACCATGTAAATAACAGAAAGGGTATTGAAATAATTTTTATTTATATAGCAAATAAGGAAAACTATCCATTAAGTGAGAGCTGGCACGTTATCTTCACGTGTCTTCACCATGGCCGACAATGTCCCGAGAGTTGAATTAACCATGACTGTTCAGTAATCAACACAGACAGAGCTGTTATCTTAACCTACAGAACAAAAACACTTCATTTACGTGCAGTTCCCCCATGTATTTAACAAAATGCCTTGCACTTTGGCTATGCCCAGATAGAAGCTAATGACCATATGAAACAAATTTTCTGACAGTTATGTTTTTTTAACAACTGTATGCCACTTCTTTAATGAAAGGTAAAATCTAGAACATTTTACAAATCATCATGTGACCAAATCATCAACCAATATTGGAATGAATGTGTTTGGTGCATGTTCCATAAAAGTTGTAACTTGTTAGATCAGTTGAACTGAAGATGAAAACTTTCATATCAATTCTTGATTAATTCAGTTGTATATCTGTACATTAGACTGAAATGACAAATCATTTTTGTTAACACATACACATTAAGTACATGCACATATTCCAATTATCTTTATCCCCAATAATATACTGATGTGGCTTGTTTGAACCCTGAACAGCGACTTTTTTTCTTTTCCTCATTTTATGACAGGAATATACCAATATTTAACCATAGCACTAAAATTAACATTTATCTAAAAGAATTACAGCAATTCTATGGTGGGAAGTGCTTTCATGGCATGATAGATACTAATGGTCTTACTAATCATTTTTTCATAATATCTTATCTCAATAATTCTAGCAATTTGTTAGCACTAATTATATAATCGAGGCATATGAATAAAATCCTTCTTAAGCAGAAAATACTGAGCTATGAATTTTCATGACATGTGCAAAAAAGAAGGGTAGAGATCAGTTGAGTGATCTCCCACCAGAATACATAAAAAAGACTTATGAATAAATATAAAGGATAAACTACCCTTATTGATCAGGAACTTGGACATCTCTAAGACATTTGCCTTTATTATTATGCATTTTTGTCATGTCTATCTCAAATCTTGATAATAAGTGCAGTTTTTGAAGATGAAACTACCAGACAAGTTATCTGAACCTATTCATCATTAACCAAAATTTTAAGTTTATTTACAAGAGACTGGAACGGAAACCACAGGACTGGTATATGTGAGAAAATAATACAGACTATAACATATATTTTCCTCACAACTAATTAAGCATTAAAAGAGCATTAAACTACATTAGAAATGGTTTATCTTAATTTACTTTATAATTAGAATGTTTGCTGTACTAACAAGCATATAGCAGTATGCACAGATGCATGCAGCATGTCCATATACAGCATACCAGGTACATACCACAAACACAGTAATGTAGATTTTAAGATATGTAGTAGCTAACAGGTAAAGGCACCTCAAGTTTTTAATTTTTCCATTTGATTAAGCTGCGTCTCAGGGTACCAGTCTCATTATAATGCAAAATTCATTCTAATGGATGCAACAGTGCAAAAATAAATCAAAAGAATTTTAAACCATCATTATGCAGTCCACATGTTTGAGCTTTATGCCATCTAGTCTAGGGTGTCCATTTTTATCTTCACAATCTTTGTGATGTGAGAGAGACACGCACACTGCTGTCAGGTATTCTATATTATATATCCCTACAGTGCTATCCAAGTCCACACCAAGCCTACCATAAACAATGAACATATATATTACTCTCTGACAGCTGTGACATAATTTCTAGTTTCACAAAGCAACTGTACCTGCATTACTCTGGTATGCTTAAATTCAATATGAAAACTACCCTTGAAGTTTCTCAAACAGACATTCTTTTGTGGGCCAGGTGATCAAACTGTGGGTTTACAGTTAATATCTTTCTTGTGCAGGCCCATAGCCAGGGAACCCCCCTTTTGAAATTGCTGGCTACGGGCCTGTTGTGGTACATGTAATTAACACAGTCTAACAATACAAACAATTCTTATTACTGTAAGATGGCATTGAGGCATATCCGTAATACATGGAGAAAAATACACTTACAATAAGAATGGGGAATGACACCGTAGCATTCTACCATATCTAATCTTCAGATCTTTTACAATATTAGTCTACTTACATTGCCCTCTCCCTCCTCTCTTGTTTTGTCTGTTGTCTCAGCTGTCCTATGTATGTTTTTGACTCTTCCAGGGAACGTTGGGAGTTATCTAACATTTCTTGCAACATTTCTCTCTCCTAGAGAGAAAAAGGATGTGTCAAAAAACTGATGTAATGTTTAAAGAAAAGATAAAATAGTTTTTTCCAAAAAAATTGTTTTCACAAAATTCTATGATAATTAAGGGCATGATTTTGATTTTACCATTTTTTTTAAATTAAAACAATCTGTTCTGACTGATACAGCTAAGCTTATAAAAAATGAAAAATCTGAGTCATGAAAAAAAAAAAAAGCTAAGCCAAGATAAGCTCAAGGAAATATGTTTAACTCAAGAGTCTTATGGTGAAACAAAATTAAAACACGTGCAGCAATTTCTACATCAAACAAAATTAGTAGTCCTAGCTTCAAAAAAAAAAAAAAAAATGCAAATTCATTATGTGCAAAATTGTATTCCACTCACCTCCACAGTTGCAACTTTTTCAGGCTCAATATCTTTCAAACTCAAACATATCATTTTTCATGTGCACTGTCAATATGACTACATGCTAACAGTCAAACATACAGCAATATGCTACTTTCCTATAGACAGTACAGTACAGATCTCATTTGATATGTTAATCAGTTTTACCTTTAGTAATTTCTCATTCTCTTGCTTGGTCTCGACTTCAGAAAAATTCAATTCTGCCAGCCTCTGTTCCATCTGAAGGAAGCAACAGTGCATGACGTCAGATGACTATCTCAGGGACAAATAACCTTATCTTATTACCATATTTAACACATTTACAGACACATTTGCCTGAGATAAGAAAAAAGACAGTTATTGTTATGAGAACAAAACTTGAAATTTGAAGTGCATACTGAACAATGTAAATTCATTATCACTGCCCCATTTTGAAGAGTTAATTTAATAGAACAAGGAACAGGGGACAATTTGACAGACAAATACAGTCATTAGACTTCATCACATACTGTCTGCATAAACCACTTTAAAACGTTTTTCACCCAAGTTAGACAAAATGTGTAGTAGTCATGAACTAGGCTGTGTTTGAAAAATAGTTACATCACTAGTAACTACATGTACCTCAGCATGCCGTGTAAGGAGCTCTTGCAATTGTCTGTCCTTTTCCTTCATCTCTCTTTCCATTTCCTCACGAAGCTGCTTCTCTTTTGCTTTTTCCTGTAAAAAAAATAGTTGAAGAAAATATAGATCTAGAATCATTAGGGAACCGAATACAGAGATAAGAAACACAGTTGTCAGAAAACACAACTGCTCTGATTTTCACACAGTCGACCTTTTTCATTTATTGTGTAGTCATGCTGATTGCACTCTATTCTAGATCTAGATGGGTTACTCCAGCATTTTTTTCTGCTTTGTTTGTGTTAGATAAAAAGCTAAATTGTACACCAAACCAACAACAATTAAGGCAAAAATTGTAGGCAAAAATATATATACAATATGTGCTCGTATGTATGAGTCTGTATATCGATAAGGGGGTACTAAAACCAACTTTATCCCTGCAAACAATATTTACTCTTAATGTATTATAAAACAAGCCTAGAGCCAAATAAATAATTCATAATACCATTCCAACAATGGTCTTATTAACAAACCCAGAGTAATTGCACTCTGTTCATATACCATAAAGAACAATGTCATCTTAACAAAATACAACTGTTAACTATTAAATGGAAATCATAATTTTCAATCAATCATGAATAAGTCAAAATGAGAGTCAATTACTTAGTTAATGACACTCCAAATGTACTTTGATCATACTTATTGCACCATGAGGAATAATAAAGATTTACTGACAGAGATAAATTATAGACCAAAGCAATTGCAGTTTCATACTGAAAAAGCTACCTGAATAATAGTAATTTAAGTTTAATGAGTAATGCTATCAAGAACGTGCAACATAAAAAAATGCACATAGCAGGACATGTAAATATATGTATATCTCTCCATATCTACCAATATTGTCATAAATATACTGACACTTAAATGACCACAAACCTTATAAAACAACTGAAGAAAATACCAGAATCTCCACAACCTACCCAGTTCATAAAATAGGACCCACTGACCACTATCCTCTGCTCATCTCTTTATTTATGCTAGCACTTAAGCCATACCCTCCTCCCTCCCAAAATGGACTGTTTCCATTAAGCTAACTAAATGAAACCCAGAATATAACCAGTTCATCACTGTAACACAAGATGGCAGCAAGTCTCTAATGTATTCTTACTATTGCATTATTGTATCTGTTACATTCACCCTGAAGGAATGCTGGGCTTCACTTATAGCTAAAGCAGACATGGTAGATCCCCCTTTGATAAAATATGGATATATATCTTGGATAAGACGCAGCTTTGACTCTTTTTAGCCACATCCAAGGTCAAACTAAGGAGTGTCTGACAACAATGGCATTGCTTAACAAGCTTTCTATGCCTCATAATCAGACTTGGTAATCTGATCAAAATAGATTTTCTTAGCCAAAATGAATGTCTTTAGTAAGGATTTTCCAAGTAAAGATTGTTTTGCAGGAATGTATGAACAGTTATCACTTCTTTTTATTCACTNTTTCAATTCATATCATTACATCTTCAGTTCTTTTGCAAGATTAACACTCCCCATTTCATGGATAAATTTGAATATTTTTCTTTATACAAAATTTCTAAGGAATTCTAATATTTTGAAAGACTCATAACGTACAAAGAGCGAAGTAAGAATGACATTTTTCCTTTTTCAAACAGAAGTTAATCACTCAAATATGTACTGTAACATTTAAAGGCATTTGAAATACTAAACCAGAACATATATCAATTATGTGTAAGTACAATTATGTGTAAATATACCCTACAATAACAGCATGCCTTCTTTCAAAATATATGTGCTGATAAAATTGGTCAATAACATATAAGTATGTAAGAGTGAAATCTAACTCAATCACATATAAAAATACAATATGTACTCTTACCCTTTCCAGCCAAACACAATGGTAAACCACCCTTGCAAAAATGAGTCTCCTCAATTCATCGTCAAGAGCATGCAGGTTCTCCTCACAAACAATGTTTTTGTGCAACATTGTTCCTTCCACCACCAAATATATCAATTATAACAGACAACAGATGACAGCGTGAGACAAGAAATTGGGCAATTATCAGTGATGAAGGAAGCCAAAGTCAATTTCCCTGCTGTAAATTTAGCAGATGTGAGGCTAATTTCCACACTCCTAATGCAATGAAATAATTAAATATCCGGTGTGTACCTCAGACAGTATCCGCTCTTTCTCTTGCTTAATCTGGTGCTCCATCTCCTCATATAGTTTTCTGACTTCTTGATCATGCGCAGAGCTTTTGCTGAAAAGCAGCAGATGACACTTATTTCAGCATGCATCAATTGAAAAGTCAATATCAATGAGTAGATAAGAGGTAACAAGGTATAAGGGAGTAAATGAATGCACACAGATCGTGCGTGTGAGGACATAGCATAATCATTTCGATCCTAAATTCATCCGTCCAACTGGACCACCAACAATGTTGAGTATAGTTTACAATTCTGTTTTTAAAAAAATCAATATCACAAATATGCATATGTGTATTTTTTGCCAGATTTCTCATCTTTATTCATGGATGCAGTTATACTGTCAACTCACTGTTGCAATCACTTATCACTTTCAAATTGATGCAGTCAAGGTCCATACAATACTTTAATTTGCGTAGATGATATCTATTTCATTATTCACTGACATCAGATGAATGTGAAATGAGAATGATTTATCATCATATGACCTCAGGAACAAAGTGTGTGGCATATAATTCATGGAATTCACCATAATATTGTTAATAACGGTGATGAACAACTTTTAGGAATGATGAATCATCTAGCCTCTCAATTAAAAAAAGTTGACAAAATCAATAAAGAACTCAAAAACAAAGGCATTTTAGCTCATCAGTCATCCACACTGAGCACCAAGTGAAAATTAATCAACTGGATCAAGACGGTTTGCAAGTAAAGAGTAATCATTGGAGAACTTCATTCCAGACTCTGAGGAATATTGATTTTGTATGTGTCACTAAACATACTATGGTTACAATGCCTCTGGGTATTTGAGCTTTTAAAGGGGCATTTAAGAGAAAAGCCAAATGCTTAATACTCAACATACTTTGTTCAGCTTGAAGACACATGCCACCATAGAAGAAAACGGTTCTTAGAAAAACCCAGGAGCAAGAATATGATGAAGACATGAAACATTCAACAAAAAAGTCATGGCCTCTTTTTGACTTTCATTCTAAAGAAGTCAAGTATTATATATATGAATATGCACTTCAATACTTATGGAAAGATTTAAGGGATTTAATCATTGGTTTATTGATAAATAAAAATTATATAGTGACAAGAAAAGCAGCATATAAAATGGTGTTAAAATTTTACCCCTAGACATAATAAGTTTCATTTAACTTTTGATGTAAACTACAGCATTTGTATCTCATATCTCTTATAGAAAAAGGGCATCAATTTCTCTGGCAAAGAGAACTGATGTCTAACAAAAAGCCAACATGTATCTGCAGCAGCTTTAGCTTTTTGTACATGCCAGTCATAACTTGCTTTATATGCCATGGCTGTTATAAAATATTTGCAATCTGTCAATGATGTTATCATCATATTCAACTGATAGGGAAAATATTGACATGACCTTTTTCAGAGATGATNTTCAATTCATATCATTACATCTTCAGTTCTTTTGCAAGATTAACACTCCCCATTTCATGGATAAATTTGAATATTTTTCTTTATACAAAATTTCTAAGGAATTCTAATATTTTGAAAGACTCATAACGTACAAAGAGCGAAGTAAGAATGACATTTTTCCTTTTTCAAACAGAAGTTAATCACTCAAATATGTACTGTAACATTTAAAGGCATTTGAAATACTAAACCAGAACATATATCAATTATGTGTAAGTACAATTATGTGTAAATATACCCTACAATAACAGCATGCCTTCTTTCAAAATATATGTGCTGATAAAATTGGTCAATAACATATAAGTATGTAAGAGTGAAATCTAACTCAATCACATATAAAAATACAATATGTACTCTTACCCTTTCCAGCCAAACACAATGGTAAACCACCCTTGCAAAAATGAGTCTCCTCAATTCATCGTCAAGAGCATGCAGGTTCTCCTCACAAACAATGTTTTTGTGCAACATTGTTCCTTCCACCACCAAATATATCAATTATAACAGACAACAGATGACAGCGTGAGACAAGAAATTGGGCAATTATCAGTGATGAAGGAAGCCAAAGTCAATTTCCCTGCTGTAAATTTAGCAGATGTGAGGCTAATTTCCACACTCCTAATGCAATGAAATAATTAAATATCCGGTGTGTACCTCAGACAGTATCCGCTCTTTCTCTTGCTTAATCTGGTGCTCCATCTCCTCATATAGTTTTCTGACTTCTTGATCATGCGCAGAGCTTTTGCTGAAAAGCAGCAGATGACACTTATTTCAGCATGCATCAATTGAAAAGTCAATATCAATGAGTAGATAAGAGGTAACAAGGTATAAGGGAGTAAATGAATGCACACAGATCGTGCGTGTGAGGACATAGCATAATCATTTCGATCCTAAATTCATCCGTCCAACTGGACCACCAACAATGTTGAGTATAGTTTACAATTCTGTTTTTAAAAAAATCAATATCACAAATATGCATATGTGTATTTTTTGCCAGATTTCTCATCTTTATTCATGGATGCAGTTATACTGTCAACTCACTGTTGCAATCACTTATCACTTTCAAATTGATGCAGTCAAGGTCCATACAATACTTTAATTTGCGTAGATGATATCTATTTCATTATTCACTGACATCAGATGAATGTGAAATGAGAATGATTTATCATCATATGACCTCAGGAACAAAGTGTGTGGCATATAATTCATGGAATTCACCATAATATTGTTAATAACGGTGATGAACAACTTTTAGGAATGATGAATCATCTAGCCTCTCAATTAAAAAAAGTTGACAAAATCAATAAAGAACTCAAAAACAAAGGCATTTTAGCTCATCAGTCATCCACACTGAGCACCAAGTGAAAATTAATCAACTGGATCAAGACGGTTTGCAAGTAAAGAGTAATCATTGGAGAACTTCATTCCAGACTCTGAGGAATATTGATTTTGTATGTGTCACTAAACATACTATGGTTACAATGCCTCTGGGTATTTGAGCTTTTAAAGGGGCATTTAAGAGAAAAGCCAAATGCTTAATACTCAACATACTTTGTTCAGCTTGAAGACACATGCCACCATAGAAGAAAACGGTTCTTAGAAAAACCCAGGAGCAAGAATATGATGAAGACATGAAACATTCAACAAAAAAGTCATGGCCTCTTTTTGACTTTCATTCTAAAGAAGTCAAGTATTATATATATGAATATGCACTTCAATACTTATGGAAAGATTTAAGGGATTTAATCATTGGTTTATTGAAAAATTATATAGTGACAAGAAAAGCAGCATATAAAATGGTGTTAAAATTTTACCCCTAGACATAATAAGTTTCATTTAACTTCTGATGTAAACTACAGCATTTGTATCTCATATCTCTTATAGAAAAAGGGCATCAATTTCTCTGGCAAAGAGAACTGATGTCTAACAAAAAGCCAACATGTATCTGCAGCAGCTTTAGCTTTTTTGTACATGCCAGTCATAACTTGCTTTATATGCCATGGCTGTTATAAAATATTTGCAATCTGTCAATGATGTTATCATCATATTCAACTGATAGGGAAAATATTGACATGACCTTTTTCAGAGATGATAATTAAAATTTTCAGTCAGTTCAATTTCCAAGTGATGACATGAATTCCCTGATGGGTAAATCATTTTATGAACTTTCTGAACTTGCTTTTAAATATCATATCAGCTGCCAAAGAATATTTACACTATTCTAAATCATATAAGGAAAAAAGAGCCTACATACCTTTTCAATGCTGATTCAAGGGTGTCAAAATCTGCTTGAGATCTTTTTATTTCACCTGACACTTTGGAAAGGAATTGTTCAAAGGAAGACAGTACTTCTGGCTCATCTTTACGCAATCTACACCACATGTTTTTGATAGTTGTTTGGCTGAAAAATCAATAAATGCTAGAAACTGCTGCAGCAAAATAAACCTTAACACAAGAAAGTTTAAAATTAAAAAAAAAAAAAAAAAACTTCACTTGAGGTAACTACCAACTTTTGATTGAAAACATTAACAATTCAGCACATTGTAATGCCATAAAAGACATCTAATTTGAGATGTAATTCATGACAAGACTGTTATGTGTAATGTATTGTAAAAGCACAACAACAAAAATCATTTTTCTTTTCTGTGAAGCATAATGTTCAATTCACAGTAAAAGTGCAGTAGTTGAGACATGACAACACGATTGTGTTGTGACACATCCAAGCACAACAGCATGGTCCTCACTGAACATTGACTTAATACAGTCATCAAAGAAAGTAACTCAATAAGACTTACTCTTCAAACATGTCATAGGCACCCACATTCTTCATCATGTCCAGAAAAAGTTCAGTCTCCTCATTAGGGTCAACAAGGTCGTCCCCATATACTGCTTCCCCACTATTACTCTCTGGTTGCATGGAGGTGGCTAAACCCAGGAAACTACCTGTATGTGATTAAATAGTATATGTTATAGTGAAATTTCAATATGTTATGACTTATGAGGACTGTTTTCTTACTAAACAATGGAGCTCACATAACACAGAGTTGGATAGCAGGCACTTGACTGCAACCACAGACCGCTTCCTGCTTTTTCAGAAAAAGAATTCTTATCTCTCTCTCTCACACACACATACACATAAAAATCAATAAACAAATATTGAAGAAAAGAAAAAAATGTGCAAAAACATTCTAAATACAACTTGTTTTTAATGAAGAAATTTTACAATAAACAAAATAAAATTTCATTATTTCAGATATCATGTCTTCATTTTAGCTTCCTAAAAATACATCACAGGCTGAAAACTTCACAATAGGAATCAGAAGACGGACAAACACAATTCAGCAAGAGAATTGCATAAGGTATGAGTATGGACTTGCAGAGGTGTTAATTCTACTGTAAGCCATAAAATTGTGAGTCACTTCTTTAACACAGGCTAATGATGCTGGTAAGAGTTAATTTAGTTGGGAAACAATATGCATTTACAGACTTCTACTTTTAATTAAATACAACAGATAATCTACCTGTTAAATATATCATTACATGCATGAAAACTTGAGGGAAGTTTGCAACATAAAGATTATTAATATTGGCAAGTAGTTATTTTGTCTGATATCACATATTAAATGGACTTTTATAATAGTGTAACCAGTAGCAGATGTAAATATTGTAAAATGCAGAACACTTCAGTCACTGTTTGCAGTCATTTGCATGGGCTGCAACCGTATGTGACACAGTTGTAATTCATAATGATAAGAAGTAATATAGATAAGGTACACCATGTATCACAAATGACTACTCTGATAGCATGGAACAGGAAGTTGGGTGAAAGGTAATTACATGTGAATGTTATAGCAAGGAGTTTCAACACCTCAAAACGATTTAACCCCTTAAGTATTTTTTTTTTGGGGGGGGGGGGGGAGGCATACCTGATGTTGGTAAATATCCATTGATGCTTATAGGAAAGTGGTGACTGTTATAATAACTGGCCAGTCATTTTAAGCTAAAATCAACCTTTATAAATTTTATCAAAGGTTGAACACAAGTGCAGAGAGGGATAGATAAATAATTTATAAGTACAAGAAAATTGCTCATTTTCCCAAGCAAATCCATCTCAGCAGGTAAATTTCATGGCGTGTGCCTTTAATCTGTAGAGATAGCTGATAGATGTTTCTTATAAAGTGTAGTGTAAATTAAATATATCTGTCTACATATGCATGAATGAAGTTTGAAAAAATTTTAACAACCGCATTCCCTATTGCAATAGCTTACAGTAAAGTGACAAAAATGTATATTTACATGACCAAAAAGGTTACCATTTAATGAACCACCCTTACAAAACAAGACAAAAAATAAGAGGAGATATCTTTTATCAAGTTACAAGCATAATATTTTTTATAGATGAAAATGAACCCATACTTACATAATTTGGACTGCATTAGTTTAATGAAAAAAATTTTTAATTTAAAATTACGAAGGAACTTATGGTGACAAAAAGATGCCAACTAACTATTTTCAGCATAAACTGAAATCAAAACTTATCTAGAAATTTTTTGATACAAATTTTAAAAAGGAAGAGGTAAAGTGCACCTTGGACATTGGGGAAAAAGTAAATAAAATACATTCAAAACCTACGTATCTTTTAGAGAGTACTTCACAATCTGAATCAAATTTCATCCCATGTGTGAAATGTTGTATCTTAATTGTTAGTATGATGGTCACCTGAAATAACTTGGTCATCTCTGTGGTAAAACACTTAGTAAGTACTAACATGTCCCTTAGAACTGCATTTGTTTCCTGTCATCACCTGATTTATTAATTTTCTCTATCTATTACATCACAGAGGATGTTCACCTAACCTCTATTGCTGGGACAGGTGACAGGATGAGTCATTTGATTCATGTCAACATACAGGTTGCTTTTAAAATGAATTTCTATGCAGGTGTTGGAGTAAATACCAAAAAGAGTGAACAGGAGCTACCCGATCACAATGACGTCAGCATCATAAACCCAGTTAAGGGTAATCCCCCCCCCCACCAACCCTGCCATAACATGATCCAGTCACAGCACCTACGCCTCAGAGTAAAACCCTTATGAGGAAGAGGAACAGCTAGTCTTCAAATGAGCAGTCTTCAGTCTTCAGATGAGCATAAATTTACATGGAGTACGAACAGTGTAATGAATTTAAGTACAGCAGAGAGGTCTGTAGTGCTGTTAAATTTTTGATGAATTGATATTTAAAGTTGGAAATCTTGACCATATACTAGTAGCTGTAATAAGAAATTCATGGAAAATACACTCAGCCATAATGTTTATCCTTGTCCCATACAAATAGATAAAAACAATAAAACATTTTTTGCCATGAGGGTATATTGAAATAATTCAATCATATATTAAATCTACTTGGATATTTTATATCATTATTCAATGGTAATCTTTAAAAAGGGGTTTACATGCAACAGTGAGTGATCTGTGTCAGCCTGTCTGAAGCCATGCATACTAATGCTTAAACCTTCTGAAGGAATGTGTGAATGTCATTTAACAAAGAAATGCACATTTCTCTCAAACAACAAAACACACAAAAGATATGAAAAAGAGTACATCGAAAACTTCTTCAAATGCACATAATTACATTATAAAAACTTGCAATTTTGACATGCACATACTTACTATACAAGGAAAATGAAAACTATGAACAGGAAAGACACGAAACATAATAGAAAACATTAAGTCAAATTGTGCCTAGTGTGTCATGCTTATGGAAGCCACCTACCCCTCTCCTCTCCCATTTCCTTTGAGGATCTTCTTAGAAATAAGAGAAACTTTCTATAAAAACAGCTGCAGCCAAGGAAATAATTATGACACAGTTGTCATCAAACATCTGTCAATCTATTATGGAGTTGACACAGTAACATTTAACACAAAAATTCTCAAAATGCAGCAGACGGTTTGATATTTACAGTGAAATCCAGTGAAATCCACCAGCATACAGTGGCTAAAGTCATTACCTCCTGCTATTAAAGGTTATCATATATTCTCGTCGCGAAATCCAGTCTCGCCACAACTGATATGGTGCACTACTCATGCAAAGTAGACCTTATTTCAATTGATAATGCACTGACAAAAAAGTCAGATGCAATATGTTATTATGGCTTGTTATGCAAATCAGAGCACACTTGAAATGACAAATAATTTCAAAAAGAAAAGATGAATAGGGTGTTTGACATCCTCACATATATTCTCCTCACAAAACTGAATCTTATAATATATGCCATAGAGAATTGGTTATGAAATGTAACTATAAATAACCTAAACTGATAACAAAACCTAACTTTAAAAGAAAAATAATTAATCAATTTTGCAGTCATGGGTCACTTACCAAAGCCTTCTGTGAACTCATCCAAGGTCAGGAATCCATTTCCATCCTGATCTAGCGAGTCAAAAACTGCTTCCAGTTGATCTGGTGAGAGAGGAAGTTCAGACTGAAGCCTCTGCATGTCTCTTTTAGTAATAAATCCTTTTTCTTCTTTATCGCAAATAGCGAATAACTCGTGTGCCTTTTCTGCCATGATGACATGAATGTCCCCGGCTGATGGAGGAGAACTAACAGCATCTAACTCCTCTTGTGCGTTGGTAGTAGTAGCCATTATTCACATATTATTGTGAGTCACAGTTTTGGCAGGCAAGATTTTTATTTATGTTGTTATCATTTCTCCATGCTTCATTTTTAATAACAGGGTGCTATGCCCATATTCCAGTTGAACTGAGGATTCTCCATAGATCAAAGTCAACTGCCTTCCTCATTCTAAGTTGCTTATTGCACATGGAAGCAAAAGTTCTGCCTGAATGAAAAGTAGAAATTACTTCAGTTATTGATATAAATACTTTAATAATGTAGTCAAAGGTGTGTTCTAATAACTACAGAGCATAAATGCCACTGTGATGCATTGGGCAATCTATGAAGCATAATATCTCAGGTAAAATCATGGTGGTACCAGATAATTTGTATTGTTTCACAGCTGGCAACATTATACATCTCCCTGTTGTATGTGAGAAAACCAGCGCTTAATTGTATATTGTTTGATCTACAGAGTATATTTTAATATCTATGTTATGTCCAAGCATGAGCATTCCTTGGGACCATTTATTTATCTTAGTGTGATTTATCATGCTTAACAAGTCAAGTGCCATATGGTAGCAATGAAGCATTATTTACAGAAATATTCAGATACTAATTTACCACATAAAAATCATATTTCTCATATGTTCAAATACAGAAAATGAGGGTTTCTTTCAAACTCCTCATCTATTCAATAATTTTATAATGTATATACAAAACAGTATGATGTGCACTTTACCTGTCATGCCAAATTTGTTCTCATAAAAAAACACGATATATCAATACCTGATGTGTATCAGTCAGTCCAATCTACAGTGTACCTTACCATTACCTGAACTGCTGGATTATCTTCCTTACATTTGAACCTGCTGCAAACTAAATCTTATCAGGTTACACTTGAATATATTTTATATGACTTAACGAACCTAACCCAATAATAAAAACTATCAAGCAACTGTTAAAGTAAACTAAATAGTATTAAAGTGATGTCTCTTTTTCTGATTTGCAAAATAGTTAAACAACAAAAGTTCTGCTTCGTACCTGCCTCATAAAAGCATCATTTAAAGAAGACAGCAAAACAGTCAATGTGACAGCAGTGCTATCCACTTTAAAATCTTAGCCTTCCATTAATATGTCATACATTTTACCTGAAATATACATGCTTATGCATCAGCCAGTTCAGATAAGAAATTACCTTTCACAAATATATGAAACAAACTTTGAAAAAGAATCTGTTAACTGTTTGATCAGCAATATCCCTCAAAAATGTACTTTCCTTTGTTTCTAATCACTTACTAGTACTTAAACATCCACCATGTACATGTACCTCCTTATGTAAGACTTCATTCAACAAACCCCCAATCTCTAGTAATTTCCCACAAAACACTCTTGAAGTAGCACATGGAATCAGTGAAACAGGTATGTCCAGACAATCTTATCAGCTACCTGGGTGAGCCGACAACTTAATTTGAGGATGTAAATTATCCAAGTTAAAAATAAGATCTTAATCACACTGACTGTGCTCATTCTTAGGCCCTGCAGGAAGCTCCAGTCAAGTTCCAGTACAAGTCCAGGCCATGCAGGTGTAGTGAAAAAGTTGAAAAATATATACCAAATTAAATTTGTTGATTGAAATGTTAAAGCATACTTGTCATTTCTAAGCAGCACATATTACACTATATACCAACTGAAATAAGCATAACTAGTGCTAACATATAATATAGCATATAAAATTGATGAAAATGCTCTCACCCACATCTACTGAGATCTAGTCCTTCACATTACATACATACATATATACTGCATGATGCATAGGCTGGATATGCACTAAACTCAATCAAATCCCACATTTTATGGTTGGTTCCACCTGCATTGATATAATGTTGCTAGACAAATTTCACTGACTCGAATATATAAACAGGGACAGTAAATATTGATATACAGAAATATTTTGCCACAGTTGCATTGCTACAAAGTTCCAAATCAACAAAGACTTAAAATACTCTTGAAGTTTTCAAGCTGGAAATTGACAACTATCAGACTTTCCTTTCTAAAATTACTCTGATAACATGTCAGACCTCATATTTCTGAATAAAAAATTAATGCATAAAATCAACTCATTTATAGCATTCCAGCAGAATGTCTGAAGATAATTGAAATATTGATAAAAAATCTAGAATAACATTTTTCCATTGACCATGCTTCCTAGAAATAAAAACACTTGGAATATCTAATTACTGTAAAAGCAATTAGCAAATTGCTGTTTTCCACTTACAACAGTTGTTCTAGGTAACTCAATCCAATGATAATAAATACATACTATTCCTTCTTCCTGTCAGTATCAGGTAGAGAGGTAGTGCACATCAATAAAACTAGCAAATATCATTTGGCCTATGGTGCACCACAGCCACATGTTCTAGTACTGTACATACCAAACTTTCTGAAGTAGAACTTGTTCTTGAAAAACCAAATTAAAATAATCCTACGTACTATCTACCCGCATTCTATGCTTGGAATCAATTTACTCATGGCCTTATCTATATCACAGATAGAATAATATCTGAATGCATGATTTATTCTGCTTCAGACTGCTAGCTACCAGTATCAGCTATACTGATAGAAGATTGATGAACATAACAATCATAGGTTTAAATAACATAAATATAGGAATTATATTTCACACACAAATATAGAAAAACAAACAAGCAAACAAACAAACAAACAAAAATTAAAAATCAAATATATCTTAATATATACAATTTGGAAAACAAATTTGTTTCACAGGTAGGTCTAGAAGGAATCATTAACTTGTATACAGTAAATGGTCAATGAATATAAAGGGATAAGAACTCTTCGTATGAGATCTATATTTCACAATAAAAACATTGTAAACAACTCATAGAAATATAACATATTTTATTTTACCACAAAGAGGGCAGTCAAAGCAATTATTCTGACATTTGTGCTTGTCATCGGATCATGTGACCTCTATACACGGCTATACTCTGTAATATAATCTCTTAAGAGATTATTACTAAAAAGCATCCTTTTTAGAAAAAAACCAGGAACTAACTTTGAATGTAGAAATGAATTCATTAACCATTGGTAAGTATGGGAAAATTGTTTTTTACCCCAGGAAAATTAATTTTTTGGCCAAAATGAACAGTTGTTATCTCTTTAAGCCACAAGATAAGCTGGGCTATGAAAAACTTTTCCCCCCAAACAACATAAAGAACATTTCCACAACATAACAACCGTGTTGCTATAAAGGACACGCCACATGCCTCTTGACAATGCCCGTACATCCAATGCTGACTTCCTTCATATATTCAGTTTAAATCGGACAGGAAAGACTTTCCCAACATATTGCATAACTAACACAGAAAGACCTAACCCATGCTTGTTTAAGAATACCTTCCAGGTGTTATAATTTTCATAACAGACAGTACTGACTATAACAAAGAGCTGGCGACAGTTCCAGACATATCTTTATGCAAACCGATGAGCACCTTATATGTTGTCTGTTCTAGAATATGAAACCGACTGCTGGGGACAAAAAGTGGACCAATAATTACACTTAGATCTCTCCTCCTCCCCCCCCCCCCCCCCCCATACGAAAATTGTAGTCAATCAGGAAGTCATTTTTGTGACACTTATGAATACAGGTACCAATTTCAATCAGACTGCAATAAACTAAAAAATAGGCACATATATCTTACATTATGCACATTTGATAAAAAGACATTCAAAATGATCATCATGTGATTCCATAAATCTCCTACATATCAGCCCATTAAAAAGATAAGTATATATTCAACCCCTCCCTCAGGTGCTATATGTGTTATAGAAATGATGCCATGCCATGCAACACTGCATATCTTGATCATAACGTCCCTCTCAGCATGTGGTCAACTGCCCCGTGAGACTGAGAAACGCAGGCCCATTTACTAGTTGACATTGACATCACTGTGACATTAAGGGCAACTTTTACCCCATTATCAGGGTCATGCTACATTGAATGTTTAAAACAACTCACATTTGTCACAACTGTACCTATATACAACCTGTATATATTGTACACATTTTGTCATTTCAGTATATTATAAATAAAACACATTTCAAAAAAGTGCACTATACTGGTAGACTATAAAACTATTATAGCACCCCATGTCAACTGGGGTATGACAATGTATGTCACAACTCAAAAACATTTTCTTTCACATGCATGTTTTTATGTATTTATCAGGTATACGAGGATATATGTTCAAATCACACATTCTTAGCTCAAGTAAGTATATTAATTTATGGCCAAATAGTTAACATTTTTTACATTGGATATTTAACTTTTTCACAAATTCATCATCAGGACGTCCTTACTAGTACATAGACACTATAAAATACACCTACTACATGTAGGTCCCCTTGGGGTTCTGTCACCACATGGCACAGGTGATATATACTTGTATGTATCATCTCACCTACCTAAAACTTTATGGACACATGTACAAAACATATTTTGTGCCAAGGTTGTAGCACTTGGCAGTCATTTTACTTCCAAATGAACTATCACAAATATATGCAGTGTTCAATCAACTAAAATACACACAAATATCCACTTACCCACAACACCAGCACCTACCCGGTCACTTGAGTCTTCATGACTGATGTAGTTAGTAATATGCAGAAGGCATAAAAAGAAGCGTAAACTGATTTTATCAACACTTACGAGCAGCCAACTGATCAAAGCTGTTATTCAACGGATTATGACAAACAGACCTGTAATTATACTACCTTAGTCTAAAAGACACATCATGATGGCAGTCATCTGGCACAATATGATGTCATACGAGAAGAGGAAAAGTGGGAAAACCTCCGTGGAGGGATTAATCTTTCAGCGAGAAGAAAGAAAGCAATACAAAAGTGACATGTAAAACACATAATAGTAAATTTACTTTTGTATAAAAAAAAACAACAGTGCTTAAGAGAAACAAGCTTTTATTTATTGTGAGTGCTGCACAGTAATCGCTAGTCTGCCATTATTTTTGACCCTCTCTCCTCCAAATCATGAAACCTCCCTTAGTTTATGCTAAATAGCAAAACTTGGATGATTCCCATTAGAAAAGACAGCTGTCAACTGACCATGAAGTCACTAATTATGCATCTTTTAATGACCAACACATTGGAGTAATGAGACCTTGTCACATATGACTTAATTATCCATCCATGCTGTCTACTTCCTATAATTTAAATGTTAAGTGTAGTTTCATTTAGCACAAGCATTACTTTCTATGAGCGACTAACTACTGTACTTGTTATAAATAACTTAAACTACTCATTATAACCAACACTGTTAATTACTCTCTCATAAAAACCTGCTTTAATTAGAGCAAATCTCATCACTATGTGGCAATCATTCAGAATTTAGTTGCATCAAATCTAATTATGTTTTGGATCCATTATACACTATAATAATGTATACTACCTTGGGATAGCGTTAGCAATTTTTTTCACTTAGCCAAATCATCACTTTTTTGTCAATTTGTTATCCAGATGGTGTTAATTTGACTAAAATGAGTCAAATCAAACCCTTTTTGTTTAGCCATTTTAAGTCAGTTTCAGCATTTGGCTAAATTAGAGAGTGTTAGTGCTACCCTAGCTACCAATGGGTCCAAGTTATGTTAAGCAGACTAAAATGCTATTTTTTTTCACATACAGTAGGCCACATTCAGAACAGTGGATTAACTAGTCCGAGGGTCAAATATGACGGACCCACTTGAATACTTCAAGCATATTAGTTGGTCGCCATATTTGACCCGCTTTTTAGTTGGTCGCCATATCTGACCCGCGGACTACTTAGTCCACTGTACTAAAAGCGGCCATACACAGACTAAAATATCGACATCTTTTGCAAGCAGCTCACTTTCATTGCCCACTGCACTTATTATAACATCCACATAATCTGATATGTTCTTCTGATTGTATATTATCTGGCAAAGATCTACAGTATGAGAAAAGATCTAAAAGACATTTACCCAAGCAATAAATCATAAATCTCAGGTTTCAACATAATGTTAGTAATTCTAGCAGAAAGTTTATTACCCTCTCCCACACACCTGGGGCCCATTCCCAATAAACTATCATTCTATTTAGATTGTGTCAGACATTGACTACTCTTAAGCGAGAATCCCCGCAGAGTTGGATCGATCTAGCTTGTAGGATGGGTTTATTTGTTTATTTGAGCGTTCTCATAGTTAGATAACAGTCACAGAATTGTTCACAAGATGAACATTTGACATTAAAAACAAGAAGTATAATAAATATCTGTTAACTAATGATTAAAAAATTAATCATCATTTCACAGTCTACGAGACAGCAAAGTATATTTAAAATAACCTCATTATATGTATTTCCAGCAACTTTTTTTTATCTCCAAGACCC